TCTCCTCCCTCCCTCCCTCCTCCTCTCTCTCTCTCTCTCTCTCTCTCTCTCTCTCTCTCTCCTCCTTCCTCCTCTTTGTTTTCCATTGCCACCTAGCTGCAAGCACTTGGGGCGCAGATGTTATACAGGAAGCTTTTAAGGAGGAGGAGGAGGAGATACCAAGCTAGCTAATATGGTCTTATATTCGTCTGTGTAATAGGTAGGTAGGTAGGTAGGTACTTACGGACGGACGGACGCCGCCGTGCTCTATGCTATACTATGCTATACTATGCAGTCAGTTAGTCAGTTAGTCAGTCAGTCCATAGCTATTCCCTAGAGCCCCTCTATGGAAACAGGACGGGAGCGCGGGATCTTTCGCGACGTCATTGATGGTTGGTTCTCGGGTTTGGGTTCGGGCGGGTATGGGATGGGATATCCAGGATCTGTTATTCGTTTGTTCGTTCGTACTTCTTGATGTCTTCTTCTTTCTTATTGGGAGGGGGGGGGGGGGAAGGGAAAAAAAAGTCCCTACTCAGCCTTAACCGCTTTACACAACGTCTTGAGCGACATGGATCACTTCACGCTTCACGAAGAGAAGTCTGCATGTCAGGGTTGAGGTCTACGTCTACTTTTCGTCTGGTGTAGTCTGTACGCCCACCACGTAGTGCATCTCCTCGCCACTAGCGTAGGTACTCCAACAGCCCCCTTCTTGGATTTTTGGAAATGCAGACATATTCCTCGTGTCGGCTCTTTTCGGCACCCAGAGACGCTCGCTCGCTCCTAGGAGTCTGTCCCCGCCATAACTACATCCCCCTCCGTCAACTCGGGCAGATCCACATCTTGTTCCACGCCTGAGATGTCCCCTGGTCTCTCCGCACGTAAGATACGCACCGCCTCCTCGGCGCCTCTCGTTTCAATCTCGATTCTACTGACGCCGTCCTGCACACAGGCAATCTCGCGTTCGCCGACAAAGACCCTACACACCAGTCCTCGGCTTTCCTCTCCTTCTGGTGTGTCCGGTGCTGTGCTCAACTTGTACTCTACTCGCTCAGCAGCGGCCAAGATACCGAGCTCCTCTTTCGGATTGTAAACCTCCATGGCCCCGAACCGCAATCTGCGGTAGATGCTCCAGATCTTGAGCCGCTCGAGGAATTGACGGCAGGCGTCAAGGCCGGAGTCTACGTACAGGGCACCAATCAAAGACTCGACCAGGTCAGAAAAGAACTTGGGAGCTTGTTGCCTAGCGAGCAGCGCCCAGGGATAGTTCTTTCCACTGTCGAACACATCGCGGATCTTGGGGGCTAGAAGATCGTGGAGCTCGGCGGCCACCTGTTGCTCTGCTGCGATAGCAGAGCTTGTGTGGCGCATGAATTTCCACAGTGGCAAGGTAGCCATTTTAGGCCTCTCCTGAGGAGAACCGCCGTCGGGTTGAATCTCCAAATCGATGACCTCTTGCGTGGTGTGGAATTCCATGCATAAGAACGCCAGTATGTCTGCATTGACGAGAGCTGTACGTATGAGGTGCATCTTAACGTGGGAAATGAATGTGCCGTCTTCTGTCTGCATCAGTCTTTCAACCACCAAATAGTCGAGGATCGCGTCCCCGAGGAATTCCAGACGTTCCAGTGAGGCCGAACCAAGATTATATGACGCATGTGTCACTGCTTCTACCAAGAGACCTTTATTATTGAATTCATACCCCAGCATGTCTTCCAGTATTCGTAAGGTTTGGGGTAATTCGACATTGGGAGCTCGTTGGAACAGCAAGGACTGGCTCTGCGCAAGAGGCTGCCAATCGATTCGAGGTATGAAGATCTTGAGACACTGCAGTGGCTTTTCAAACCCCATTTCACCATCTTCATAACAAGCTCCAATCAGAGCCTCCACGACATCTGCCGGTATCTTTGAGGACATCGTTCGTGGTTTGTCTACGTGGTCGGTTCCCATCGCCAGCAAATCATCGACATAAGTCGGTCGCCACTTGTGGCCACTGAACTTCTTCGTGATGATAAATCTATCGAGCCCATTTTCAATTGCAGCTGCGTACAGACACGAGTTACTGACAATGCGGCCTTTTAGCTCAGTAAGGTAGCCTTCATGCCACAGTGGATATTGAGCCATAAGCTGAATCGAAGTACACATCTTCAGAATCGTATCTCCAAGGAATTCCAAGCGCTGGTAATTCGCTTCGTACTTGATATTTTCGTAATGGCTCTCATCAGAAGCGCTAGATGCTGTAATTGCGGTCACAATCCCGTTGAGGTCCTGAATCTGGATATCTTTCAAGATCGTCTTCGTCAACAGCGTTGCAAGGAATGATTTTTCCAACCGGTACATGATCGAAGGTATGAAACGGCCAAATTGGTACAGGATTCGGGGCATCTTATCTTCCGTGCACCTCGTTAGCGGAAGGACCGTTGAGTATGGCTTTTTTGATGGAGCGTCGTTCGTTGGCGGTGGTTTACGGAAGAAATCCGAACGGCTAGGAAGTCTTGTGACCGATACGTGGGGTGAGTCTGTACTGTCCTCGTAGTCTTGATAAGGCTTTTGTACCAGGTTAATATCTGGCTTGCCTGGCAGTAATTCCTGGAACAAGTAGGCGACATTCCTATCATCTTTGTCTCTGATGAGGCCCGAGGAAGGGCCCAGCTCATACGGTTGAGTATCCTTGACACCCATTAAGTCAATAAGAGGTGTCCCATAGTCTACGACAAATTGTAACGCAAATGGTTTTTTCTCGACCTGGAATCGAGACCCAAAGGCAGATTTCAAGAGAGCCCATGTATGCTCTGTTCCGATCGGTAGAGCCTCTGGAATTGCGGGATAGGAATTCGAGTTAAAGTGGAGATTGAATGCTGTAGTTCGATCCCAGTACAGCGTTATTGGTTCAATTTTCCGGACTGCCAGAGGCGCAGGTACCAGCATGGCAAAATCGAGGTCTTGATAGCGAACCGTGTACTGGTACCATTTTTCAGCACTCCTCCACGCATATGCAAAGTCTCTCCAAGGATTATACTGCTCCTTAACTTTTTCTAACGATGCTCGTGAATCGCCATTCGCAGAAGATCTAAGATCATGTGGGACAATATCGATGCCCAAATTTGGCAGCAGATTATCGTTCACAAGACCAGCCTTGTAAAGGGCGATGTATGCTTGAAAAGCTGCATCCTTTATGGCATTCTTCTCGCTCTGCCAAGGTCGGAGACTCTGCGCTACCCTTACAGTCTGATCCACCGAGAGGGGTAGCACAACTTCCGCTCGGCTCAAACCACTTTCCTCGCAGCATGTGAATTCGGGCCGCCGATCTAGATAAGAAGTCAAGTCAGGATATGCATGGTGGAGTAATAGCAAAATTAGGATCGGGCCACCTCAAATATAACTTACCGACATAGGCTGACTGCGGTATCTTCGCGCAGAAGTGATAAAGATGTGCTACCGCATTGTCCATATCCAGCAAGGCACCAGTTGTCTCCACCCTAAAAACTCTCCCATCGTCTTCTTCACTATCCTCTGCAAGCAGTAAACTCTGCAGAGTTCGCCTCTCATCCTCGTACATTTTGCGCATATCTTCCTCGAGCTTTTTCCACTCGACAACCTTCCCGTCGGCATAGTCGGATAGAAGTACTAGCCTAGAATCGCGATGCCTGGCACGCCCTCGTCTCTGTACAAATGACTTGATATTTGCAGGCGCCTGGAAGCAGATGACCGTATTACACGCGGGGACGTCTATACCTTCCTCAAGCACACTTGTGGCGATAGCAAGGTTGATCTGACCTGATTTGAACCTCGAAAGTGTGTGCTTCTGCTCGTTCAGATCGATGAGGTCTGAGATATTGCGAACCCGGGCACTGTGCCCTGATGAGCCCACGATCGTTCCCGTACGAAACCTACCGCACGAGGGGTGTACCGATATCAGATGGTGCAGGATGACTGCTGTCGCTCGCTCCTGTGGTAAGATAAGTTTTCATCGACTGGCGATCGAGGGTAGCAAGATCTCTCACCTGAACGAATACAATGCCTGAGAAGCTGGCCGGCTCATTCAAAAGAACGTCAATTAGCTTGGTTACCTTATCGCTCAGTAAATGTAAATCTTCAAAGCCCAAACATGACCTTTGCGATAGCTCTACTTGCTGTAGCACCTTCGTGAGATGCAATTTTTCGGCTTTGGACATGTCCGAGAGGTCAGTGTGGGTTGCGGATCCATTTGCGACTTTGGTAAGCTTCCGTATAACCTGAGAAACATAATAGTCTGCAGCCCAAGCTCCCAGATCCCGAAGGATCTTTGTAGCTGTAGTATGAAATGACTTCATCTGACTATGACACCAAGTATTGTGATTAATTCTCAGTCTGTCAAACTTTTTCCGTCCTTTTTCCGAAGTATCCTTCGACAGATAGAGGTACCAGGGATCTGCAGTGACCTCCATGTTCGAGAAGGCGTCCTCAAGGGTCTTCATAGTCTTCGTGTGGCCCTCAGAGCCTGCTTGAGGAGCAGTCTGATAGAGCACTGTCACGAGTTTGGGCAGCTTCACCTGGAGTCGTAGCTCAGAGCGATGCTTGCTGGGTGTCCTACATATTGCGTCTAGTACCTCCTCAATCTTTACTAGCGATCTGGGATCTGACCGCATAACCGGAGAAGCTGTTAGTCCAAGGATGCGAGGAACACCAAGATTTGAAGCCTTGCGTCCGTGGTAAAAGTTTGTCATAATCTTTGCTCCGGCATGGCTCTTGACACAATTGTGGGCTTCCCCTGTTAGTATTGAATCTCCTTCCCCCGCTCAGAGACGTACCTTCATCAAATACGATCAGAGCCAACGTCTCCATACTTACAAAGCCATGGCTGAGTGCATCGAGCAAAATCTGGTAGGTCGACACGACGATTTTGACATTTTTGAGGACGGCATTCCACTAGATTCCCAGGGCTTAGACCATGCTCTGCTATGGAAGCAGTGCAGGAGTAGAACTGGATGTTACTGACATGCGTCTGTTCCGTCCAGCGATCAACCCCATCATCGCCCCGGAGGAATTTACTTTGCACCGCGGTAATCTGGGACTGGATGTATGCGAATTGCTGATCGCATAGGTCAACCGTAGGGGCTAGGAACCAGATGATCTAAGGACATCAGAGCCAAGCAACTTTTAGGAAGGAGGGGGCATTGTACTGACTTGGTTGGGGGACGAGCGTTCAATTTCATGTTGCATTCGCATCACCGCACTGGACGACTTGTCAGTCATTTTCCTGGAACGTATCGCGTGAACCAGCAGTGTGCCGATTCAATAGATCCTGAGAGGAAAGGATTTTAGGATTGTAGCTGGACTTAGCTCACATGTGTGTCTTTCCAGAGCCTGTGTCCATCTACGTACGAGATGTCAGTACCAGTCGATTCCTCGTTTTCTCCAAATCTCCATGCCCTAATCAACACAAGATAGGCACCTACAGCAACAATGATGTTCCTCTTCAAGCTCTCCTGCAGCATTTCCTGCTGGTACGGCCGTGGCTTGATCACCCCAGGTATACTGGGGTCAAGCGGTCGCAGAGGGCCGCTGTCGTCCAGGACCGCGGCGGCTACAGAGACATCCTCACCGTCCATATCCTGATCCTCCGTCATTTGCACCTCAACATTCCGAATCTCGTTGTCAAGCGGAGCTGATGCGTGCTCCTGGCTCAGGGTCGGGAGAAACGCATCCCGAAGGTCCTGCATCTTCCGGTGGTATGGTATTCAAAGCTGGGTAAGGTACCAAAGCAGAATTTTTCAAGCAGGTTATTGCAATAAAATCTCGTAATCGACGACTGTCGAGTTGTGAGGATTGTAGAAGAGATCCATGAAGAGATAGATGGGCTGGCTGATGCATCACGTGATCCTTTCTTGTTCTTGTCGTTGGAAAGCCTGCATATGCAAGCTCCCGCCGCCGACATCCTTGCCACAAAATACTTGTGAGCCTGATAATTTCTCACCTCCAAATATGTAGATCCAACGTGTAGATTCTGTAAAGAACAATGTTTGCGTTATTCCGAGTTAAGATATGGAAAGAGGTTGGGTTGGGTTGAAGCATTGAAGGGTTGAGTAGTGAGCTCGGATCTTCCCTTGAACAGTGCCACTGCCCGGTTGAGGTGGATCGGCCCAAGACTACTTCGATCGCGTAGACACCACCATAGTCAACACCACCTCGTCTATCCATTAAACCCCATACAGAATTGCAAAAATTTCACAGAGCTCCTCTAGTTCTTCCGAGCCCTACAAAATCAAGGCCAAATCAAATACACTTAATCGAAACCATTCAGATCAGATCACACCAGGCCAAGTTAGCTAGCTAGCCACCTCACGTGCTATGCCTCCCAAACCCCCCTCAGCCCGCCTCACCCACTTCCTCTGCATCCCCCTCGTTACCGCAGCCTCCAAACCCCAACTCCAGTCCGCCCTCTCAGCATTCACTTCCAAAGCCAGCAGCCCCAACGATCCCCTAGCGCGCATCCCCGAGAAAGCCATCCGCCCTCTCGGCACCCTCCACCTGACCCTGGGAGTCATGTCCCTACTCACCCCAGAGCGCATAGAAGCCGCCCTGGCCGTCCTCCGCACGCTGAACCTGCAGGAGATACTGGCGGCGACTAAGTCTGCAGATGTCCGTACCCGGACAGGAGAAGCGCAGCAAGGCGTTAGCGAGGGAGCGGGAGCGTTGTCGGGAGCGTTGTCGGGAGCGTTGTCGGGAGAAGGCGCAGGAATCTTGCCGGAGAGCGGGTCAGACATGGGGGAGGCCAAAGAGACATTGTACATCACCCTACAGGGTTTGCATTCCATGCAGGATGCGAGCCGGACGTCGGTCCTGTACGCCGCGCCGCTGGATCCGGAGCGGAGGCTGCATCGATTCTGTGAGGCGCTGCGTGTTTTGTTTGCTGGGTTTCTGGTCAGGGAGGAGAGGAGACCGTTGGTGTTGCATGCTACGATTGTCAATACGGTGTATTTGCCTAGGAATTCTTCGTGGGTGGGGGCGGGGAGAGAGAAGCGGAAGGGAAGGAGAGAGAGGTACACGCTTGATGCTCGAGGTTTGGTGAGGGAGTTTGAGGATTGTGTGTGGATGAGAGACGTACGACTTGAGAAGGTTGCTGTGTGTAGGATGGGTGCGAAAGTGTCGGAATGTGGGAAGGAGGAGTACGAGGTGGAAGGGGAGGTGGAGGTGCCTGGGTGACCGTGATCAGATCAGGTGGTTGGGATTGGGGACGTCTCGTTCTCCCAGATATCTCGAGGCAGTGGTGGAAGCAGGATGCAGCATGCAGCACCTCGAAGGTAGGTAGGTGCAAGCGAACGAGTATTAAGGGCTGGCTGTGGTAGATTGCATCAGATCTGCAGAACACCTTCCCACAGAGGTAGCCCTGCTTGGCTGATGTGGCACAGTTGTCAGGATATGTGAGAACGTCGTCACATAGTACTGTGATGGCATAGCGTTCAAATCATGACTGCATTTCTCTATTTTCTTCCGCAAATATCATGCAGAACAACAGAGATGGCAAGCCTTTCCATCCTGCCAAGCTCAAGTACCGTAGTATCCTTGAGAAACTCAAGCTGTGCTGAAAAACCAGAAGAGAAAGAAGAACACCATATGCCAAATGCAAGAGAAAAGGCCGAGAAGGGAACCATGCCGTGAACGCCAGAGCAATATGCGGAGTGTGAGGGTATAAGGAACATTGTCGTAAAAGATGGACATAGCCGTCCGTGACCTCCAATTTCGCAAACCCAGATGAAACCCTGTCTCACGGCAGCTGTTGCCTGCGCCGTTAGACAGAGCGCATGCCGGCGGGGAAACGTGTGCCAGTATTGATGGTTTATCGTTGTCGTTGGAGGCCCCGCGCGTAGAAATTCCTCAGGCGTAGAACTTCTTCAGGACCTTCTCGACCTCTTTGTAGTCCTCCTTCACGGTGACCAGAGTCTCCTTAATGCGTTCCAAGCACTTGTTCTCGTCAGGTTCGTCAGCGGTACCCTCCTCGTCCTTCTTCTGGCCGTAGTGCTGGATCTTCTCGCAGCTATCCTTCACCTTGGTCAAGCCAAGTGTAGCGGAGGAACCTTTCAGGAAGTGGCCGAGGGACGAGAGTTGGCCGAGGTCCTTCTCCTTGCTGGGCAGCAATAGTTTGTCAGCATCAGATTGAACTTGCGCATACCGATCGAACATGTCTGGGGCCATGCGCCCACTCACAGTGCGGTCTCCATTTTTCCGAAAGTCTGCTCGGCCTGCTCGAAGAATCCAAACACAATAGAGCGGCTAAACTCGCGGTCTTCCTCGTCATCGTCCATTTCTAGAATTTGCTCGAAGGTCAAGGCATCGATACTCTCGCCTAGATCTGGCAAGCCGACAGAGCCTTCGGCGTCACCATCCTCACTCTACGCGCGCCTGGTCAGCTCTTGCGATCTCGTGTTGGGCGCGCGACGCAGGGAGCGAGCTGAGGTGGCGGGGTCAACAAGGAAAGGATAAGAATAATGACATACCTGGTCCTCGGGTTCATGGGATACGCTTTCAGGCATTTTCGACGCAGTGATCTCAAAGGATCTGATTGCTAGCCGAGTGGCAGAAGAGAGAATTGTCTTGTCGTGTCGTGTCGTGTCGTGTCGATGAAAAGGTCGTCGACGGAGAAGGATCGGGGTGGTAGTTGAGGTCAACAGACTGATAGCGGATTAGTTTTCCTAATCACGCGGCGAGGTAGTTATGGTGGGGTTTGGATCGACGCCAATGCGTAATAGGATGTGGATGTGTGGGTACCCAGTGATAGCGTGATACCTACTCTAGTGATGGTGTGAAGGGGCACGTCCGTAGGGAGCAACAGTTAGTTGTACGTAGTAACTTGAAGTCCAGCCAGGCTTGGTAAAAGCTACAAGTGTGTTTGCACGCGCTCAAATTTCAGAGTAAACTTTTTTGGATTTTTTTTTTCCTAAAAGAAACTTTTTAATTACATGAAGAAGGAGGAAGAGTGTAATTGTACCGTAAGTAGCTAGCTGTATATTCATTTTAGCATGCAGCAAGGGGGGGGGAGGGGGGGAAATAGAGATTCCGTAATGTGATGTGATGTGGCAATGCAATAAGTCATACAGTAGTGTGTACCAAGATACAGAGCCCCGAAGTCTAGAACACATGGAAAGGCACGTCAGACGAGTCACGGGAAAAGAGAGCTCGCCCCCCGTGACTGAGATCCTCACTTCTACCTCCTTGTCCTCCTTGTCCTCCTTATCCTCCTTGTCCTCCTGTCTCTCCTCCGTAAGGTCTTTTCTTCCTTTTGAGTGAATCATGTAAACCAATACCTTCCCATACGAGGATAGCATCATGCTCGACTCCAGCCTACCTACTCTGTACCGGTACAGTACCTACTGCAGAATTGAAAGATTCAGGTCAAGAAGCCTTAGGCCCGGATTATACTTTCTACGGAGCGTTGTAGGGAAGGGGATGGATCGAAGGGATCGAAGTTTAAATAAAGGAAAAGTGACGTAGAGTACTACACCGGCTGGGGCTACGTCAGCCCGCATGACAAAGCATGCAGGTGCCCCAGCCAAGCAAGTCATGTCTTGGCGCGTCGACAAATTGATACTCACACACCCATAACCTCATCTCTCCTACCAGTACCAGTACCGGTACCTACCTATACTCCCCCCCGTAACCCACGTCTCAACCACCTCTTCACCATCACCGTCGCCGCCACTGAGAGTGCAGACGAAGTTGGAGATGGGAGATAGGAGAAGGGCCCATCTCCAGCTTCGGCTCTACTCCGTCGCTCCGAGAGGCTGAGAGGAAAGGCGCAACCCGGCAGGCATTTTACGGATGAAGCCCAAGATGTTGCGACGGCCGTAACCCCAGTTGAGAGCCGTGGTCCCCAGCATCCGCAAGGCACATCCGATGACGGAACTGGCTCCAGCGCCCCGAGATCTACAGAGTACAGAGTATACCGGTACTGTACGTAGCACCTCCAAGTCATTTTTACATGTCGGATTCTTAAGCTCGATCCGGACTCGACCCGGAGGATCTCCCGGCCTACCTTTTCGGCGGCAAAACCTCGATGCCGGGCCACGAATGGTCATGGTACTACGTACTTTCCAAATACTAGCTGCATCTAGTACTCTGGGGCTGTTGGGCCCGTCTTCCCATACCCAGATCTCCGATTGCGCCGCTCGCCGGTAAGTCGCTTGAAACCTAGACCTATGCTCTTCGTAACTAATATTACAACCAACATCTACAACGTCCTACTACCGGTAGTATCATAGCACCGACGATTTCGTTCCCGAAAGCATCCTTAGACACGGTGACCCTCGTATCTGGTCGGCAGACGCAATCTTGTAAGTATAGCACGAGCCGCCCGGGCGTGCTTGACGGCGCAATCATCTACACCAATTGGATGACAACCCGGCCTCAGCCGAAAGACGTATTCCTCCCGTCAGAACTCTCTTGCGCTTGCTACCTTTTCGGTGTCGCTATGTTTGCGGACTCGGATCTCGCGCCTGCTCGACACTCAGTACGTGTTCCTCTCTTTCATTTTACTCGTCTTAGCTACGATATCCGCCTAGCAGATAGCATCAATCGCTCAAACCACGTATAGGAGTTAGAATTAACGTATTTATCGCCCCGGATTATCTCCCGTACTCGCTCTACCTTGCGGATCGCAACGTTTACTTACGACACCGCATCCGCGCAGCTGCCTACGCCGTAATCTTCTCTTGCGACTTATGCGACGTAAAAAATATAAACAAGGTAAGTAAGGATTGGCAACCAGCGATAAGTATCGTTTTAGATACTGCTACTCTTGATTCGGCGAAGGATACAATAAAGGGAGACGAATAGATGCATCAATCAATCACACACTAATAAAATAAATTTGTTACCACCGCCCCCCAAATACATGTGGAAGTATAATTAGCTCCATCAATCGTAGAACAGTGGTTTCTGAATGGCTCCCAGCCCTGTCAACTCCACTGTACAGACTAAATACTGGCTCAGAGATACTTTTCAAGGCTGAATCCTGATAAGTTGATTGGTTTAAGCCCTGATAAGAGCCCTTGCCAAATTCTACTTGCCACATGTATTTACAGTACTGTAGGGGGATAGTACTGTACTTGTTCAACTACAACTATATTAATAGTCGAAGGTGAAACAGATGACATAGTAGGAATGGCGAGGTGGCCCACCATTTTCGCCTACTGTTACGACGTAAAGTAGGCGGGTAGACCCGAACGCAAATTTCAGCCAAAAGTTCAACTACAGGTACGGTACTGGACATACTACGTATGCCAAACCCACGAATGTCAAAGCCCTGAGATCGTCGCCTTTTCCAACCGGCCGCATCTTGAGCTGCCCTCAACGGCCATTCATCCGCGCCAGGCGCTCCGTCTCACCACCGCCAACCCCAGCCGCAGCACGTACGCGAAATAAGCCGAGAAAGCAGAGCTTGACGGGCGCAGCTGTCCCAATGCAGGCGGCAACCCTTCACCTCACCTCCGAAAACAAGAGTTGTCGAAAAGTTATAACCTGACCCGTGGGTATCAATCAACGAATGGCCTTATTCTCGGGCAACCGCTTATCTTCTACACAGGAGCTTCGACAGGAGAAGGACAGTACCGTAGGTACTACGTACTACTACATGGGAGAACATACCACCGCGGCCCCGGGATCTCGTTGCGTCCGACAGAAACGACGTTGCATTCGGCCCAAACCGGTGCGGCCTAGGGGTATCGCACAAACGCCGGATTGATACGCGCTGCAGATCTATCCTGAAGTGAATAATAACACGAGTAGATTGTGGTACAGAAAGTGACGATGAGCTGCATGTGGACACCCGTTCCTGCAACTCCGTACAGTACAGTACGGAGGGGGAATGAATGGTTGCTTTGTTGGCGATCTACAAAGTATAAGCTGCTCCATATGCAGATATGCAGATATGCAGATACTACGTACTCCGTATGGAAGTACTAAGTACAACTGCCGGTAGTACAGTAGTACTACGTACTTGGTGCCCGAGGTTCGCCACTGATTGCTCCTCCATGTCGGAAGGGTCCATTTCTGCATATGGTTACAGTAGTGACTGCAACTACCAGCAACTCTTAGCTGAGGATGTTCAGATGCAAGCACCAGTCATGTTGAGATTGCCGTGAGCCCCAGAAGTCTTGTTCGGTAGTAAAGTGAGGAGAATCCCAGGCGCCAAAGTTGTTCAAGCACCTCCAATCGTTTATTCGACTTGCAACGTACGTAGTGCGTCGTAGTAGTACGTAGTAGTAGTACGTACTACTGTTCGGCAACCGAATCAACCTTTATCCAAGCTACCGACCGTCTTCTTTTGCGCATAACTTAGTCAACATGCTTGTATCTGTCTAAGTCAGCCGAGCATTTTCATCTAGTCGTATCTGCAATATCCTGAGTCCGATGAAGATCCTGCATCTTCTTCCGTCTCCGCCAAAATATGGCTGCAATTACGGAATGTCTCGTTGCGCCAATCCGATCGATGATAGTAGGCCATTAGAGTAATATTTTCCAGCGAAGCAGCGAGGGACCTGGCCACGAAAAGAATCACAATATCTAGGGCTCACTTCCGTGAGATTTCCATCGTCGGTGGAATAACAGTTTTCTAAAAATTGATTTGGTGGTCTTCGGTGTCTTGGCTACGCAAATTTCTCGCTACGATAGTTCCATTTTAGCTTCATCGCTCCCATCTCGCGTGTCGACGACGACGTGCACCTCCTTTCCGTCCCCACCTACCCACTGTCCATCACCACTTATCAACTTCCGTAATAAAAGTTTTCGGGCATCATTATTCCACTTCTGGGCAAGGAGACTGCGCAAGCAAAGGCAACGAACGCAGCGCAGCAGCACTGGGCTCGTCTGCGACTCAGGTGGCCGCGATCAAATGCCGAATTCGTGAAGAACCTTATTTTTCCTGCGGAAAGCCGCCGCGCTCCTGGCCGGCTTGCCAACGGCAACTTTTTTTCTCGATCGGGACTCCGCACGCTGGTTTGCGTTGCGCAGGTCATGGTCCAGCCTCGTCGCTTCTCCAGGCAGGAGGATCCCCCTCGGTCTCGACTCTGAGACTCTTTGACCTGGGTCGAGTCAGACTCGGCGCATGCAGTAAGTATTACCTACAGTATTGAAAATAAGCTAAAAGCTAAAATCCGCGCTGGCTGGCGGTAGGATTCCCAGAGAACGGAGAGAGGTCATTGGGTTTCGTTTCTCTGCTCCCAAGAGGGAAGGCGCGCATGGCGCGTCTCGTCGTGGCACATCTGGGTGTGTCTCGTTCGTGTCTGTTCGTTCCGACTCGAACGTTCGTGTATTGCAATCCTGACCCCGAGGGCGGATACGTACAGTCAAATTTCTAGTTTCTCTATGGTATCTTCTGAGGCATAGCATGGATACAATGATTGGCGGTCCCAACTCTGTCGAGACTGTTCGTTGCTGATAGGTTGTTCAATGCAATGATCCTGGGCAACCTCTGCGATTTCAAGATCGTATAGTTCTACGAGGAGTTGGATTGTCAAGGTAAAGAGGCTTGCCACCCCGGTCAAGCTCTTCCAAACTCGTGGATTCAAATATACAGAGCAGTCCATACAGAAGTGGGGCAGAGCCAGACCAATCTCAACTGGAATAAGCAATTCCGAGTATGATATCGGCTACTGCCGAACTTCCAGATTCTTCGACCGCGTTACGAAATCGAATTCCCATTGTCGAGTCCGTTTGCTTCTTCTCGCTACTAAGCCTTTATACGAGCTCGCTTAGATGTTGACTTTTCGGTAGGAGGTTGACGAGAAGGTTATTAGCTTTGACGGAAGATGGGCTGGCAAGCGGACTTCGATCGCCAGATGTGTGCTTGAAGCAATGTATTCTGTATAGCTACCCACAGCATTGGGAAGCCTCTTACGAAGGGCTCATGAGCTTGACGTTGTCCCAATAAAAAACTGGCGACGGTCAAGCTTGGCGAGCACGTTGGAAGTGGCTCTCGAAAGGAACAGGGAAACAGCCACAACGATCAGAGTAGTACATGCGCTCTGTGCATTCCACTGAGATGTGAGCATCGGACTATGCCTGAGCTGACCCCCCCTCGCCTCGCCCTACACAGTCAGGTCCAGCCAGGCATCAACCAACCCTCACTCACCACCTAAGTACCAACCGCCCGCTTCCCTCCCCATCCTCCCTCCCAAACACCATGGCCGTGCATGTGCATCCAGTCCCTCCCCGCCCACGAGCGCCCACGAGAAACAGCCCCGCGGTCCAGCGCCGGGCACGCACCGCCCCCATCCAAACCCCCCAACCCCATCCTCATCCTCATCATCCTTAATATCAATATCGCGCGCCTCCCTTCCTCGCGCCGCCCAGCTCCACAGGCGCGCTCCAAACCCGACCTCCCGACCCGGGACACCGCATCCGCGAAACCCGGGACCGAGATGCCCTCCTCGCGAGAAGCCGAAGGTACCCCGCCTCTACACCTACACCTACACCTACATCTACATCTAGATCTATCTACATAGACACTTGCACCCGCAGATGTAGCAACGAGAAGGCCGGGAGCGCGACGTCGAGGCGCGGATGGCCGGGCTGGTTTTCGACCGCGACTGGCTCCGTGAGGCGTGTGACGGGGGGCGGAGGGAGGGGAGGGGGATGGAGATGGAGGCGCTGGTGAGGAGGTTGCGGGGCCAGGTGTGGGCGGGGGTGGAAGGGTTGGGTGAGTAGTGGTAGTAGTAGTAGTAGTAGTGGTAGGGTTGGGGAGCAGGTGAGTGATGAGCGTTTTGGGGAGGAGAGGAGATGAGGCGGCTGGGGAACGGGGTGCAGAATTAGGTTATCACGAATTGTAGGAGGTTGGAGATTGGTAGGTCGGTCGGGTGCGTTCTTCTTGAAGTCCTGTAAGGATTTCGGTCAGGGTTTGAGTGAGATCACTGGTCTGGAGTCGGGCATTGGCACGTTGAAAGATCATGTTCCGGACATGGATGTGATTTCGACTGGAATATCTGGGGATATCGAAAATTGTCAGATATCCATTCCACCCTGCTGCTATCCTTTGTTTACTTTCTCCAGTCTCCCCCTCGCTTGTTTAGTCCCTTCGGCTAATCCCTTACTTAGACACCTACAAAGCAGACGCCTCTACGAGAGAACACGAAAGCGTAGGACCAACCTTCGAATCCCTCGCCGCCTCTGCCCAATTCCATCTCATCCAGTCGCTAGTCTCGCGCCTCATTGTCGAGCACATTTTTGGAGGATATTTCGTAGGACTCTCCTCCAAGCAAGCGGAAGACTTATCAAATGTAGAGCGAAGTCTCAGCAGTTTCGGTAACCAACACCATTCCTGACCACGGTCGGCGGAGGTCAGAAAGCTGACTGCAGAAATAGGTTCCATCGAAAGCATGAACCAGTGGCGCTCAACCACCCTTTCTATCCTGCACAGAGACTCCCAGAAACTCTCAAAAGAGACGGCCGGCTTAGTTGATGGCGTTGTAGCGCAAGTAAGTAGCATTGTGGAATCCATCAGCGAAGTCAAGCACACGGAAGCGCGAGACCAGTCACTGCGGACACTAATCGACAGCGCTGTCGAACTCTCTCGCTTACTCCGGTTGCAAAAGGCTGTATTCAACATCATGATGCCTTGTAGAGAAGGTCATCAGTGAACGGTGTTTGATGCTGAGACGATGGAAGACATAGGAAGCCAAGACGAGGATGCGTTGAACGATAGGGAGATTCGATGTGTAACGTTCCCTGGGATCGTTAAGGCGGGAGATGAGAATGGCGAGAGGAACTATTTGAGGAATGTGGTGGCTAAGATAAGGGTTCTGTGCGAGCCTGATTGATGGAGTGCATCGAAGAGGAGGCAAGCATACTCACGGGAAAGAACCCCTGATCCAAGGGAGGCAGGTGACCTGTGACACATGACGAGGCATCGTCGTCATGCACGTTCCAATAATTCCAGATCGTAGAGATTACCACCAGGCCGAGTACACTGACACCGTAGCTCTGCCGCAGGAGAACACCTGGTATCGTTGCAGCCGCTGATACGCGGCCACGTCTACCCTGTCCTGTCCCGGATCGTAAATGATGAATGCCGTTCATCATCGTGTGCGTGGTGAGACTCTCTTCCGGGGCAGGATGGAGGACGTCGTCTCGTCTCGGGCCAGAATCACGCCGTGGGGAGGCCGATGAAATAGATGTGGCCGACTTCTTCCTTAATTCGTGCGGCGCCTCGGGACGCCGTTTCTGCAGCCATGGGCCGTTCCCCATCCTCGTGTTCCCATCCCTGGCTGCCACCTCTTCTGCCCAGCCAGGGTCCTTTTCTCTTAGAGTGCTGGAGTTCATGGGAGAGGCATTGCAACTCGGTGGCAACCAATATATTAGCTGGTTGGAAATATGGAATCCAGAGTCTGAGCTACCATGTTTGTCTTCCCAACTCAAGTGGCGACCTTCTCGCGAGCAAGGCGATGGTGCGGGTTCTTCGCAATCAGCGGGCCTGACCGCATTCGTTGTGGTTTGAGTGATGATATTGTCCGCGATCGACACCCTTTGCCAGTCAAGCACATCTGGAAGCATGTGACTTGAAAGGCTCACTGCATTCCTGCCGCAGGTCAGAGTCGGGCAGCATCGTATCTGATAATCTGGATTGACTTGGATCCAGGGAAAACTACTATTATTCGGGCATGATGTTTGAGAGAAGAGGCCAAGAGATAGAACATTGGATGTCTGTAGGGACCCGAGACGCATGAAATGGGCCGATTGACCCAGTGACGGTCCCTTCAAGATCACAGTATATAGAGAATCACTATCCCCTTGGCTCCAGAAGCTGAACATGAGGTCTCTTGACTCCGTTGTGGCCGGTCAATATAGGGGTTGCTTGAAGATAGGTTAGGGAGATACCGCGATTGGGTGTTATTGGGCTGCAAGCAGCATAATCGGGCCGCTTGTACCGATCTCTTTCCACAAATATCGTGCAGAATGGCTAACGAGGCCAGGCAGGTCTTTGTTCGCTTGCTGGCGATTGCCCTTGTGGTCGATACCAGTTACCTCGTTGCTTCGTTTCATGGACCACTCCTTCCAATAGAGGAGGTCGGATACCTGTAGCAGCGCTAAGACATGCCTCCTCGGCGTGAGGTCCATGTAGGTTGGGCCACTGTGCTCCCTCCCCTCGTCGTCAATTGCTTCGACACTGATGGGGTCCGAGAGATTGGTAAGGAGGGTGACTTCCGGATCGGTGTGACACGGATGGAACTCTTTCGAGTCCGATGATTGTGCAACTTCATAGGTAGCCAGGTCTGCCGTAATGAGGCGAATGGAAACATGGGGTTGAAAAGGGTAATGGGATAGATATGCTTGGAGGTCACATGAGACCGTAAAACATCATCATTGCTGGCCATGACTGATATTGACCACCCTGGGAAACATGCATGCAATGCAGTGTCGGTTGGTGGTGATCCTGGTCATGTCTGAAGCGGATATATATCGACTCGGAAAACCCTCGTCCTTCGGACCAATTGGTGAGGACTTTTGGATTCCAAAGATACTTGATCCCATGCCCTCCACGAGGACTTTGAAATCTTTTACTTCGAATGATCGCTGTCGAGTTCTCGAGTCACCGAAAAGTAGCCCTGTAACCTTGATCGAAGAAGCCAGGATCTGTTGCATCATCTTCGCCGCTTCCCCGAAGCCAGCTTCACTTCACCATCGTCACTAGTACCACCTTCAAAGAATCCACTTGCTTGGGCCTTGAGGTATACCAAACATTCGACGATCACTTGTCGACAACTTGTGGATACCTGCTGACACTTATATAAGCGCTGTCATGGATAGAAGTATCGCCAATTCTGCAAACTGGATATGCCGTGACGAACCCAGACGACCGCTTGAAGTCGTTGGTTCGTCGTTCGAGAGGGTGTCAGACATACCGTCCAATACTTTTCAGGCATCCTACAGTACCTCTCCGCAAAATCCCCGGAACTCAACTGTATCGACGGTATCCAGGACGAGCAAGCGAATCTTTAGCGACTCTGCGAGTCGAAGATCCTCAGCTTCTACCGCTGACTCGACGGTACCGTCGACTCAATCATTCCAGCTTCAACCTTCCATTAGCAGCCCCCCTCCCTGGTATTCGGACTTGCATGGTGGCATGACACCAGTCGATTACAATTACGATCTCCCTTGCGAGTTCGTAGCTCACGGGTGTAATCTGAGATTTCACCCAGAGAACTACCAGGATTGGCTTTCGCATTCGACCTCGCACTTCATGGGATTTGCACCTCCACCTAGCACAATCTGCATATTCTGTGACCAGTCTTTCAAGAATCCTGAAGACCCAAATTCGAGCTGGACAGAAAGGATGACCCATATCGGAAGCCACTACCAGGAGGGTCATGATTTCGAAAGATCACGACCAGATTTTTTCCTGTTGCGGCACCTGAAAGAATGTCGTCTCATAACAGACGAGGAATATGAGTCGCTCGCGTCATGGAGCGAGAGAAAACCTTGCGAGGGCTTGGTGGACCGTGACTTTAAGAGTCCAGAGATGGTGGCGAGGGAACTTAGGAATTCGAGAATCTTTGAGCAGCCATACGATTCGAAGAAAGAGGAGCGACAGAGGAGGTCAGAACACGGGAAGGGGAAGAAGAAAGACAAGACGGAGACTTACCAACAAATCCACCGACCTCAAGTCTATCAGGAGCACCGGTCATGAGTCTCACCGTGCTTTTCACAACGATCTCGAACTATCCTCGGTTCGGCCCGACGGGAAAAGCCAACATAGATTCCCATCCTCGACGAAAGTTCCCCTCCTCTCTCAGATATCGACGTGGTCTTGAGATATAAGTGCGATGAGCGTCACATCGTAGTTGTGCCTGAGCTGCTCAGCGACGCCACTCGTGGCAAAAATCCTCGGCGGGTCCGGTTACTATCATCTCCAAATGTCTGGTCTGCTTTCTTGATACTATTTTCGTTTGGGTTGAGCTCGAACTCTTCTGATGCATGATGATGGCCAGGATCGGGTAGTTTGATACTGACGGCAAGGCAGACGGACGCAACTGATAAACAGTCTGCCTTAGAACTTGCGAAGAAGCTCTGGTCCTGGATGACATGTGAGACGAGTAAGGATGGGTTGACAGGAAGGATACTGGTAAAATACCATGATTATTTTCTGGGGCTGTTCGCCTGGTCTAGGTCTTGTTGATACTGTACGTTCTTCGAACTGAGGTGGTTGATTGTTACTGTTGCGGTTTCCTATACCCCTTCTTTGGATCGAGCGCTGCGGTCTTCTCATTTTCCTTGATATGTTCACGTACCCAACAAAAAATCAGTCTTTATCAGTTAGCTGTACCAATCAAAAACAAATTCCACTTCATATGCTGCCTAAATGTTACATCTCTTCCTGCTGGGTGCCGACAACGCCTCGATCCCACCCGAAGGAAACCGACAGAGGTATCCGATACGCCCATCCAATGTTCTGGGAGCCCGAGCCGAGGGACACGGCCAATGGCTGCTGGTGAATGACGAGAAGTGGGTAGCGAGTTTCGAGCGTCGGGTTCTCACAGCGCCGTGGGTTGAAGTTGCGCTTCCCAACATTCCCAATATCGGCTAAGCGAGAACGTTCTTTCCTCAACCTGGCCCCAACATCGCGAACCAAGCCCGACGATATATCATCAAACCATTTTATTCTATATAAGAAGCATGGCCAACTTTCTGGAATTCCTCGCTGGCTTATCCCTTGCTGACTTACTGCACACCAGTTTGACTTCAGAGCTGAATTAAGCCCAACGACAAGGATAGATCCATCTCGGTCCTGTGTGGAAATCTCAAGGTATCCAAGACCCGCTGGGGTCGAATAACTTCGTCCAATCGTTCCGCTGCACAAGATATCATTGGCCACCTTCGACATCAAGTGCGAGGGATTCACCTCTTCTTCCATGAAATAAGCGATGTAAACCAATCCTCCAAACAATCGTGGGCTTCCTGCCTTCGGCCGCGGCATGGGGCAACTTTCTCGAAAAAGATCAGAGTCAGCAGAAATATCAGAGAAGGAGAGTTCTATGTTCTTGTGCAAAAATATGCCTTCTTGATAGATAGTACTGTAAGTTGCTCGCTGTATGTTCTCAACAATGATGCACATTTGTTTTCTTCTCGGTTGGCTGTTAACACGTCGCCAATCTCGCCGTCCCTTGAGACCAATTACCCTCAATGAAACTCGGCCTCGACCCCCCCGTACCTGAATCCGTCGACTTTCAACTCAAATGCCAGGCCTGCGCTCTCGACGACCATCTCTAGCGTGAATTCCAAGTTATGAAACTCCGCCCCTCTCGTTATCGTTAGCCTCACGAAAAGACTCTTCGGTACGACACCCATGTCTGTCGTGAGTCTGCAGACGTTGAAGAGATCCCTTGGTTTTGCGGCTGGTGGATCGCCGTTAGCATTAGATGCGATCAAGTCATCTGATACTACGAGAGATTGGCCAGGTCTAGTGAGATATCAGCTCTATACAAGATCACTAGGATTTGGATCAGCTGACCGGAAGTTTCGTGTGTAGTGGAAGCTAATGGGCGTCGCTGTACTCGGTGTTTCTCCCTCTGTAGACTGTTAGTCTGGTGCGGTTGGGGGGGGGGGGGGGGGGGCCTTTACTCGTGATGTGTCATTGCATCCTATCACTAACGATCCAGCGCTCCCACAGCGGACTCCAATACCTCTCGATGGTCTGGTGTTTAGCCTCATCATAGAAAGTAGCATACGAAGTACCATAATGGACTCTCTCTTTCCGAGAAACGATCATGCTACCTTCAAGGCCTCTCAACACGACCCCGCGAACCACAGCAGTCCATGCATTCACAGGCTGCATGACTTCTACCCGTTGAATTGGAGATCATGGCAATAGCCTGCGCATGTGTCGGCATCTCGCTGTACAGAGGTGGCGCTGCGGTGTTGAAATGTGCCTCTTCGTCATCTGGCAAGCCGGGGAACGGCACATTGACCTCGGCATGCTCTTCCTCATTGAAATTGCGCTTTACGAACTCTTCCCAGTATCGAAGACCCATTTTTCAGCATTGACCTTTCTTCAGCTTCATCTCGTCGAATCTAGCGTGTCGGATTCGTCTTCGAACGTGCTCCTGGAAGCGGTAGTTGAGGAAGGCACTTCCACAGAGCCCTCTTGTTCCCACCACGGATTCCTCTACTCGCAATGGCTTTAGGGATAAAATCTTGTAGGGAATCAAATCCACCGTCCCCCCATCAGCATCACAGACAATGAAATTGTCTCCAGCACTGAGGTGGTTCGGCTGTATAGCCTTGAGAGTGTAGACAGCAGCTGCTTCCGGCTCACTAATCATCTGAATGTCTGATTTCGAATCTATTCCAGCCTTCTCAGCTGCCAAAAAGTAGTGGTCTTTGCAGTATCTGACCAGACAGCAGGGCACGTCAGTTCAAACTCGACTTTCGTCGAAGCCATGAACGACTCCCCGTACCGCCTCGTCAGGGTCTCCATCGTGTGATCATGGACCTGCGTGAGGTAGTCGCTTACAGCGTCAACAAAATTTCTGTTGAAATTCTTCAACTGCGCCGCAGTTTCTAATAGGCTGACGTAAAAAGGGAGCTTCTGTGACCGGTCAAGGAAGAGTTTGATGCACCGAAGCTTGGATTCTTCCGGCTTGAACTGGAAACCTCATTTGATTCTGGGCTCCGTTCCATCCGGAGAGCCAGAAGGATACTGGTATGATATTTCTGTGGGGACCTTGTCTGAAGTGATTCCATTTCCTCCAGGCCACGTCTTGATGATCTCGACATCGTCTGGTGTTGAAGTATAGACAGCAGCAACGCTGCAGAATAGTTAGCATATATCTTTAAATTCTGGAGGCGAGCCTGAAATCGAATTTATGGTGGTGACGAATGGAGCCCCCGTCGGTCTTCATAAAGTCCCTAGTATTCGGCTTGCCCCAAAGACTCAGCAACAAAATATGACTTCACCCAAGACAGAAAGGCTTACGCCCAAAAGTTGCGCCTCTTTTCTATCATACATACCTCCTACTGAAGTCGCGCTCTAGGTATCTCGGCTGGCTACAAAATATAACTTACCCAGAATAAGTGGTTCCAAAGTCAAGTCCAACGATCAGCCGATCATTGAGCGGAGCAGGTTCACGCACAGGTCCAGCAATCGCTTCAGCAGAGGAAGTCGGAGTGTAATTTGTAAAACTACTCCGACTCTCATCGTTTCTCTTGTTCGCCGGAAGGGGAGACTGAGAATCATGGTTTCTAGACTAGCTTTTGGAGACCATGCGACAATACACCAGGATCTGTACTCGCTTCGAATCAGGGCTCAATCACCCGCTCAACGAATCCTCGTAATCACCAGATACAGAGCTGCGAATCCCTTCTGAACAGGACTCGGTTCAAACAAATGGTTCAAACAAATGCACAGATCGAGTGCAGAGATAGAGTTTCCAGTAGTCGTCTTCTGTGGATCCAGGCGTGACTGGCGCTATTGTCAGATATGGAAAAGAAGAGCACGTGAGCACGAAGTTTTCGAGCTCAATTGATCGAGATTTAAGGTATGGAGAATGGTTATCTTTAAGGCGTGAGGATGTTGAAGTATTGAAGTGTTCAAGTATTGACCTGAGCCAAGCTGCTGTACTGTATGTAAGGCCGGCCGACTGGAGTGGGGGCGCAGGGAAGGCGGAGGCTGGCTCAAAAATATATCCTGTCCTCTAGATCTGTACGACATCCAGCGAAAAAGCTTCTGCTATTGGCAACTTTGAGATGGAGCTTTGGGCGTCCGGACTCAACGCCTGGGGCCAGCTCGACTTCTCCGATCGAAATGGCGGGGATGAATTCGCCAAGGATGATCTGAAGAGCTTCAAGTGTATCCTGGAAGATCACAGTATCCAGATCCTGAGAACCTCGATTTCGGCAACGCTCGGTAGGTCCAGAATTCCAAGACCTATCTGGAAGGAAGGAAAGGGATAAATCTTAATGCTTTCGTTGACCTGAAATCGATGGACAATAAATACCTCCACCTGATCATATATCGATTGCTGTCCATTTTCTCTACCTCTTTCTAGGCGGTTATTGAAAGCCCCCGAGCAAGGTAGATAATTCCCGGAAGCCCAGACTAAACGATCACAGTGTCAACTCATGCCGGACTCCGAACAGCAGGTACTCCAGACAAGTTTATCCAGCTCTGCCAACGATCGGATGGCCTTCCCAATACCGCCATAGCAGGCAACGACCAAAGAGCAGGTATTCTCGCCCCTCTTGCATATCGTAACCACTTCATGTTTTTCTCACTGATCAATCTCAGAATTTACGCCTGGAGGTAAGGATACGCACATCTTGACCCAGTACAAATCCTTCGACGATGCAGCGCAAACACTTGGAGAGTACGAGGAGATGGAAGACATAGTCGCCAACCAAACAACTTTCACAGCTCTCGCCAAGTCCGGTCGCATATACACATGGGGAGATGCGCGATATCCAAACTGTCTCGGCCGGGACATCGGTGAGAAGTGAGTAACCTTCCTGTGTTAGAGTTTCGTTCTCTCCTGACGACTCCTCAGTCCCGCAGGCGAGCCAAGCATCGTTGAGGATCTGGCCGAAGTCGCTGCGAGCGGCATCAAAAAAATATCTTCCGGTGGGTACGTCACAGCTGCGTTGACAAGGGACAATGATGTCTATGTCTGGGGTGGCAGAGCCGGTCAAAAACCCTTGATAGACGGGCTGGAAGGGAGTCCAACGCCGATTGATTTAGATGGTGAAGATTTTCTCGATATAGCCGTTGGGATGAACCATATGCTTGTTCTGACCACCGGGCGGAAGCTATTGGTCGTTGGTTTGGGGGAGAATGGCCAGCTTGGGTTGGATGTGAAGGAGGTCGAGAACTGGACAAAGGTTGATTTGGCGCTGAAGGAGGGCCAGCAGATCGTAAGTATCCATGCTGGCTACAAGAACTCCTTCCTGTTAGTAGACGCTGTACTATGAAAAGGAGATGATTTCGAGGAAGGATAACTTGGAAAAAAAAAATGCGTGTCATGTTGGTATCTCGTGTCCTTCATTTTGTCTTCTCATGCCGCTCTATTATACAGCGTGCTCTGAATGCACAATTTAGCCAAAGATAAAAGCTCATAGATTCGTAAGGTAATCCTCAATCTCTTGAGGTGTCAACTTTCGGAATCTTGGTCCTTGTGCTCCCTCGACCCCCTCAACGCCAAGCAAATGGTGAGCTGGAGGACCAACGATACCTGGCCATGTCAGTAATTAATATAGCATTGGAATCATACCAACATACCAATTTCGACCGTCTCTCCGTTCATCTCTCCCTCAATAGTCTCCTTCAATGTTAACAAAGCAATGTGGACAGCATCCTCCAGCTCCAAGCCCTCGGTGTATCTCTTCTCCAGGAACGTCTTCGCGGAGGTAGCACTCTTGCCGATTGCCGTCGCCTTCCATGGAAAGTAACTACCACTCGGATCAACCTGATACAGCATAGGTCCGCCCTTTAAAGTGCCCCCAGTCTTGCCCGACGCCTTCTTCTCGTCTGGGTGCGTATCGGCAATCGCAGCCTGGTCCGACTCTGGCTCAATACCCTCATCCCAGCCGGCGATCAAAAGACTGACTCCGTACGGTCGTACTCCACCGGACTGTGTAGCCTCTTGCATGACTCTGGCCACATCCTGTACTAATATTCTCGTGGGCGGATACTCGTTGTAGACTCTCTTGTAGCCGGTGTGGGAAACTTTCCGCGCCTTGTCGACAAGCACTCTGTAATCTGGGCCCATTCCAGAGTATACCATGCCAATATTTGGGGTGATGAGGCTGACTTTCGAGAGAGAGGGAGGGTCGATGAGGGGAGATGACGACTTCTTTTCTGTGGCCAGGACGATTCCGTTTGTAGCTGCGAACAATGTGTTAGGTGGGGTGCTATAAATTCCAATGCGGATATTCTTTCGTACCCTTAATACCCAACGCAGTCACACCTTGGTTGACAGCATTCAACGCATATTCTAGATCCACGAAGTCAACCTTCTGTTCCGCGGACGGTGAGCTGCCACCGCATGCCTGGACTTAAACAGACCTATTTGTACCAGCTTTCCGCTGGGCGAGAAGGTTGTCAAGGAGAAGGAGTATCTGTCCGCCATGATTGCTATGTATGGTTGGAAGTTGTTGGAGAAATTGGGGGAAAAGTGCTGATGATGTCGATGAGCTCCGGCTCGCCAGGTAGGCGACGAGAGCAGTCGCGTCCGTGGCAGCTTGCTTAGCGTTGGCTTAAGACCCACATATATTAAGCTCAACAGCACAGCAACATATTTTCCAATTCGCCCTGCGCTCAACAGCGCAACTCTTTTCTCTCTCACACACATATCGCAAACTCATTAAACCTGGCAATTCTAGCTGTCGAAATTTATTCACTAATGACTCAACGCTGATTCAAGTAGGACCTAGGACCTGCGCGCATAATACCTATTAATGTCTCCAGAACTTCACCCATACTGATCCAAGCTTACAATCAACAACTATAACATTATATAATGTCCGTTCCTTACGACACCCGGTCTAACTGGTCTTGGCCAGAGTCGACGAACAATCTAGAGTACGATCATCATCACGGTCACAATCACGATCACAATCACGACGCCGACACGCTTTCAGAGGACTTCGAGGGCGAACATACCCCACCTCCGATCCCGCCACCTCAAAAGCACTATGCAACTCGCACCTGTCGAATTTGTTTAGAGGAAGTACTTCCAACACTCGAGCTTCACTCGGATGGCATACCTTCGATGCTTCGCCCAGTTCCCAAGGTCTTTTACAAGTCGGAAGATCCCAGTTTGGGTCGTTTAATCAGGCCGTGCCACTGTCGAGGGAGCCAGAAGTATGTTCACGAGGGCTGTTTAGAAGCCTGGAGACATTCGGACCCATCATACACTGCCCGCACATATTGGGAATGCCCTACCTGCAAATACAATTATCGCTTGGAAAGAATGCGATGGAGTCGGATAATTACCAGTACAATGACCCAAGTTTTGATTACTCTTACTATCATGACCACCACGGTCTTTGTATTTGGATTTATAGCGGACCCGATCATCAATCTCTACCTGGATCCTTATGATACAATCATATCGTTGCCATCTGGTGGAACGGCTTCGCTACTTGAGGATGAAAACGCCTCTTGGATCGAGCACTTCCTGAAAGGGTTGGCATCACTAGGCCTGCTTGGATTCGTGAAGGTTTTCTTCGCCATGTCCCCTTGGCATTGGTGGAACTTGAGGCAAACTGGTGTTCTAGGAGGCAGCGGTCGCAGAAGGGCTGGGACGGGACGTGAACGGCTCTCTGATATCTCATGGACCATTGTGATCATAGGTGTGATCACTTTCCTCGCAGTAAGTTGCCCCTCTTGGTCAGACCAACCACAATAAATGACAAATCAGGCGGTGTGGAGCTTCGTCCGATCTTGGACCAAAAGAACTCTCGAGAAAGCCGGTGATCGTGTGGCCGATGTTCAAGGAGACGACGAACCCGAAGAGATTGAGGAGCCAACTACGGCTGATGCTATGAAAACGGAGGCCACAGAGCCTGAGAGTCGAAAGACCCAATAGCCTGCTAACACCAACTCACGGCCGTGTTTGGAGCATATCCGTATAGTATAATATATCGCTTTGATGACAGTTACCATCGAGGCCCAGACTACTGTGACTCCCCATTAACTTTCCCTCAAATTGCACACAACTTAAGCTGCCACGAGTTCCTCTCCAAGTAGGGTGTCAGCTAGTCTGTGTGCATAGATTGATCCCTCTGCTGGAGCCTTCGAAACCTGAGCGTCTTGTTCTTGATTCATTACCGGCGGCCGCGAGCTCAGTCAACACTCTGTCGATCTGCTGCTTTCCTTCTTACGGACTGCGGTGCTGATTCTCCGCCTTCGCAAGTTGCTTCTAGGAGAATCCAGAGATGGACGAGTTGACACATTTTCACTACAATGCATCCTTTTACTCTAAAGTCGTTCATGCCTCCGCGAATGCAACTTATGTCGCTAGTCCACTTTCATTCACAAGCTCAAGCTCTGCGTTGTACCCGACGACGAAGAAAACATAGCCTTCTTTGGTTTCAGTCATCTTGCCTTCGGCCTTCAAGGCCCCCTTTCCTTCAGTTAAGATCAAGTTTCTTTCGCTCCAGCGTTCAAGTTCGTTACCAAAATTTCCAACTTGCTTAGAGGCGGTGCGAGAACTTGGGCCTCAAGTTCCTTTAGAAGACGACTTGGGCTTGAGAGGAGGCTCATCTGCAGAGTTAAGACTGAGTGTTAGGGCCGCGTAGAACAATATGATGGATTCTCGCTCTACGCGGGGGCATAATCCATTGCTGAGGGTATTATCGCTGCGAGCCATGCACTCAACAATGTTTCCGCTGATGTAGGCATGGATAGCACTTTCACTTCGTCACCTACTGTTCACTTCTAGGGGCAGGCGAGCCCACAGCTGGGAACATAGATCGAATATCCCTTGAGAACCATATAGGTCATGACCAATAGCGCAACAAGAGTACCAGGATCACACTTATCACACTGCCCCGTGATTTGTACTCATCTTCCTCGTCAAATCCTCGCCATAATGCCCCTCAACTTCTTACAAACACCCACAATCTTCTCATCGCTTGACGATAGGATTTTGCCGACAATAGCCTTCAACGTCTGCATCGTGACAATGACGCGGGCATTGTGAGGCTCAAAGCTGGATCTAAGGATCGAGGTTTCAGTGAAGAGGGCATGGATGCGATGGAGGAGCTTTCAGCCGACGCAGAGTTCGAAGTTGAGAGCGCGACTGCGATTTCTGGCTTATGCGGTTGGTGTTTCCGAGCTTTTCAGGGGTTTTAGCGAGCAGTTCTGCAGGGAAGCCTTTGTCCGGGTAAACTTGAAGAGCGATAGCTGTGGCTACTGACAAGATTTGGACGAGTGGAATTCACGTAGCTTGCAATCGGGGAGAAGCGGAAATACTTTGAGGAGGTACGACGTGTCTGTTCCGAAATTTCGGAAGGCGAGCTTGTCGATCATGGCTCATTTGTTGGCGTTGAGGTGCTTTCGAAGGTCTATTTTATTAGGGAAAATTTTTGTTGAAGGGATTGTCATCTTGAATATGCTGATGTGAAGACGTTTGGCTGATTACATATTACAACGAGAGACCTGGCTGGGCCTTGCGGATATAGACGTTAGTAAAGGCTTCTTCCTGAGCTAGGCAAAACTAAGTCTGTGTGTATGTGTTGATCGAGCTTGCTAGGCTTTTGGTATTTTAAGAGTAAAAATAAATTGCAAGATAGAGGTAGAACTGGTTTGTCGATGCCAGATAATCTGTCAGGCTTGTAGAACTGGTACCTAGCCAATAAGCGTCGCCGTGAGAATCTATAACGCCAAGCCCAACGTTAATCAACGAACCCTAATGTACCGGTATTATAATCAGAAGCATCATCTCGTTTCGTCGCACTAAAACATTTCCACCACGAGCAATTATTTCTTTGCCGCTGGTGGTAGGTTACCCCCTTGACCAGACGACAGTGACAACAAAGTGATCGTCGTCCCCAGTCATCGATCTCATTGTCACTGTCCGCAGAAGCGCCAGCTGGCAATACTAAAAGAAGGGCAGCCTCCCCTGTTCAGCTATTCACTATCGCGCCGACTCATCTCGATATCTATCTGAGGTCGCACTTCATATCGACTCCCTTTCAATTGGACACCTCCACTACGAAGAGATAGTTCGACTTCAAAATGCATCTCGCGCTTCCTACGAGGAAGTCGTCCAATCCTGCGCCATTTACACCCAGGTCGTCAAGATTCCCATCTTTCAGGAGAAGTCGAGTGCAGACCGTTGCCGTGTGCGCGTGTTTGGTTACTGCGGTGGTCTTCATATTCTCACAAATATTCGGTGGAGGCTCCGAAAGGATCCCAGCAGGGACACCGCCGGTGGTGATTGTGACGGTGCTGGATCCAGACAATTACAGCACAGACTACATAAACAACATCAAGGAAAACCGGATGGAGTACGCGAAGAAGCATGGTAAGAACTCGCGCCAGGCGATTGGATCGGAGTGGCACCACTGACTGAACTTAAGGCTACACTACTTTCTTCACGACTGCGAAGGAGTACGATCTAGGTACATCTCCGAAATCCTGGGCTCGAGTTCCAGCGACTCGACACGCCTTGACAAACTTCCCCCACAGCACTTACATCTGGTACCTGGACCAAGATGCCCTCATCATGAACCCCGACATGACCATTGAAGAAGAGATCATGAACCCGAAAAAGTTGGAAAGCATAATGGTCAAAAATCAACCAATCGTTCTACCAGAGAGCGTTATCAAAACCTACCCAAACTTGAAAGGTGGCAATATAGACTTTGTTCTTACTCAAGATAAGGTCGGTTTGTCGCCGAGTAGCTTCATCATTCGGAAGGGGGCCTGGGCCAGATTCTTTTTGGATACTTGGTTTGATCCTTTGTACCGGTCTTACAACTTCCAGAAGGCAGATACCCATGCTTTGGTAAGCGGAAACATCGCTACACAATCGTTTCTCTCCTGCTAATCAGTTGCAGGAACACATTGTGCAATGGCATCCAACGATCCTCTCGAAGCTGGCGCTTGTACCACAAAGGACCTTCAATGGGTATAGCAAGATGGAGCTTGCATCAGAGCAGGGCGCATACCAAGATGGAGACTTCGTCATCCGATTTTTTGGATGTGATCAGGCTGGGCGAAGCTGTCAAAAGGAGTCAGAGACTTTCTCGAAACAATGGAAGATCGCATTTCGATAAAGCACCCTTTAATACTTGTCTGGTTTTTCACGCACATACAAAGGTTATGGGGCGCCTTGACGATCTACTATCTACCTACGAAGCAACCCGACGATACATTGGCAGAGAGAGAATGGCGTTTCTGGCGTTGGGACAGAAAATGGCATGAATGCCTATGTCTGTATGTTTGTATAATCTGCTGCATGAAGTAAGCATCTACAGGGGCGCACGGAAAGCCCTTTTTACAATCGGCGTTGGCAGCGATGGACCTGAGGGAGAAGGCAAAATGCGCTCCATGTACTGTACATTATGTTCACATACCCTACAGTTAATAAATAGCACTGTTGTTCGATTTTGAAAGGTTGGGCAGGCGTACCGCATTCTAGGCACTTTGAACCTTTGAGCAAGCTTTTAATCCAAAAGAAACTTACCCAAGAACACCAGGGGGCTTAAGTAATATTATATTGCATCATAATGCATCTGGAGCAAAGGAGCAAAGGAGCCAAAAGGCGATAAATTTGTCTTCCCGTGGTCTGATACTTACAACTGTCATCCCGACTCCGCCGGCAACCGCTCTGACAAAATCGACCCGGTGTCCGCTACCCCAACCGCTCAAATGCCCTACCCATTCTGCATGATGAAACCAGTCGCAAGATAAGTGCGGAAGAGTCAAAGTGCGATAAAAATTCCTCGGGTCTCTTTTACTCTCACTCTCACCCACATGTGATTACCGCCTCGGCTCAAATAATTAAATCCGAGAGCGATTGTCCTTTGTGTGCAATCAATCCCAGTTCCAAACGGCCCGGTCAGTAGGCCAACATAATATAACATATACTCAATACTCACTCGTTAGAGCTCCATTGCAAGCGACGACGACAGCATCCAAGGTGTCAACATGCCGGGCACGTCGAGATTGCCTGCAAGCTTGCGCAGTAGCTTTGCGATCAAGAAGGCCGGTTCCAGCCGCCAATTGCTGTCTCTGAACATCGACTTGTAAGTCCGTACAGGTGGGAGGAGAAGACAGCTAGCTAATCGCTTTGAAAATACAGGTTCCGCAATATCGTGTTCTTTCTGTTCTTGCTGAGATGGACGAGGAAAGCGCTGCTGAAGCTCAAGGGGCGAGGACTGTTCGGGACTTTCGCAGATACCTACATCTCCATCCGCCGGGCTCTCTATGGCCTCTTCCTCCGCGCCCCAGGCGTGCGATCCCAGGTCCAGAAACAGGTTACTGAGGCTATCACGAAGTTGCAAGGAAAGCTCGTGCCATCTGGACCAGGCGTTATTCGATATCTGACTTTACCGAAGGAAGGATGGTCTGAGGAGACGGTGTTGAAGGAGCTGGAGGTACTAGCGAATATGGACCACACTAGATGGGAAGATGGATTCGTGTCAGGAGCAGTGTATCACGGAGGAGACTCTCTGATCAAACTGCAGACTGAGGCATTCGGAAAGTTCACTGTGGCAAATCCGATCCATCCAGATGTATTCCCCGGAGTGAGGAAGATGGAAGCTGAGGTTGTGTCGATGGTCTTGGCTATGTTCAATGCGCCAGGCGGATCAGCAGGTGTGAGCACCAGTGGAGGAACAGAGTCTATCCTGATGGCTTGCTTGAGCGCCAGAAACAAGGCTTACTCCGAGCGAGGGGTCACTGAGCCCGAGATGTATGCTTTTCCTCTCGTCTTGCAGCATTCAATGCCATCTCAATGCTAATAACCCGCACAGCATCCTCCCAGAGACAGGTCACACAGCCTTCCGCAAAGCCGGCGAGTACTTCGGCATAAAAGTCCATCTTGTCGCCTGCCCAGCCCCTAGCTACCAAGTGCACATCCCCTCTGTCTCGCGCTTAATCAACAGCAACACGGTCCTTCTCGTCGGCTCCGCTCCCAATTTTCCCCACGGCATAATCGACGACATCACCTCCCTCTCCAAGCTAGCTGTTAAGCGCAAGATCCCCTTACACGTGGACTGCTGTCTCGGATCCTTCCTAGTTCCCTTCCTCGAGAAAGCCGGCTTCGAGACCGAGATGTTCGATTTTAGACTCAAGGGTGTCACTAGTATCAGCTGCGATACCCATAAGTATGGATTCGCCCCTAAAGGAAACTCGACGTGCTTGTACCGCACCGAGAAGCTGCGTAGCTACCAGTACTTCATCTCGCCCGACTGGTCCGGCGGCGTGTACGCGTCTCCATCCATCGCTGGGTCGAGGCCCGGTGCGCTCATCGCTGGGTGCTGGGCCAGCCTCATGAACGTAGGCGAGCTGGGTTACATTAAATCCTGCTCCGAAATCGTCGGCGCAGCCAAGAAGATCGCTGAAGCCATTGAGCACAACCCTGGCCTGAGCAGCGACCTAGAAGTCTTAGGTCACCCGCTGGTATCCGTAGTGGCGTTCAGCTCGAAGACTCTCGATGTTTACGACATTGCGGATGCGATGACGGCTAAGGGATGGCATCTGAATTCGCTGCAGAGCCCGCCTGCGATCCACGTGGCGGTCACTTTGCCGATTGTCAAGGTTTGGGAGAAGCTTGTTGCCGATCTGGAGGCTGTGGTTGAGGGCGAGAAGGAGAAGGAGCGGGTACGGATTGTGGAGGGGAAGGGTGCAAAGGGCAAGAGTGTGGGTGACAGTGCGGCGTTGTATGGTGTTGCTGGAAGCTTGCCGAACAAGAGCGTTGTGGTGGAGCTGGCCAGTGGCTTCCTTGATACTTTGTATAAGGCCTAGTGGTACTTTTGTTTTTGTGTACAATTTTGAGTCTTTGACCGGTGGCGGCGTTGAGATGGTGATATTTGGCACTGTTACATGTTTGGAGTTCAGGTCACGAAATCACACTCAAGTCCCGATGAGTTTGCACATGTTCTCTGTTCCTAGTTTCACTGAACCTCTCTATGGGGTATAACGTTCCTCGAATGCCAAAATCTTCTCAAATGCGTCGTCCTACAGGATCAAGAGGTCTCCAGCTTACTCAGCCAGTTGATAACCATCATTGCCTCTACCAAAGCCACCCTCTCACCAAACTTCTCTCCATCCACCGATGACGCCTGCAACGTCAAGTTGAATAGACTCAGAACATCAAAATGCTTATCTTTGGCAGCTGGTGTCATCGCCGTGTGATAGTTCCATACGGCGACATTTCCTTCCTTTGGCACTGTACTGGGTGCTTTATTAATTCCAAAAGCTGGCGGGCTTAGGAAAAGCATCGGAATGTTCCGCTCGGCTCCTGTGGCAAGAGTGTACCATTCATCTAATGCTTTGGTGGTCGCAGTGGAGTCAAAAGACGAGCCGCGGCTGAAGGAGAATATAAAGGGCGACGGCTGCCATGGGTTCGGCTTTCCGTACATGAGGTCCTTGAAGCTCGTTTGGGAAGCTGGCGATACCGGGACTGTTTCGAAGGGTATGTACGCATGAGGAACACCTTCGATCCGTTAGCATAGTGAGATGTCTCAATGGAAGGGTGTGGTGGCCAACGCTTGCAGAAATATGGACTTCCTCTTCGTTCTCCACCCTCGTTCTTCTTGACTTCTTCGATACTCTTGACAGAAAATTTCAGACACTCATTATTGAGAAACTGGTTATCACATTGACACTTGGCCCGATCCTCCTCGCTCATGATCCATTCCTGAAGACCGCCTAGACTGAAGTCTTCCCGCAGTAGGATGTTGAAGGCTGCGTAGAGGGACTGTGCAACGTCGTCTCCAGCAAAAACTATCACATTGAAGCGTTCCAGGATCATGCAAATCTCAGGAGTAGAAAACCACCTGTAGGTGCAACCTATTGTCTGTTAATAGAGCTCCCCGAAGCGAAAAACAGGACACACACCCTTGCCGACGTACGGCTCATCAAATCCATACCGGCCACCACCGCTCATGGCCTCCAGCAACTCAGCCCTCTTCCCACAGAACGGACTGACTTTCGGGTTCAACGGCCAAGGTACCGTGTACAGATCCTCCTGCAAGATCCCGCACTCTCGACTACCAGCAAAGTGTTTGACGGCGCTACAACACATCACGCAATGAGATCCTGATCCCGAAGGAAGAGGAAGAACTCACTCTTCTCCAGGTTCGAGGACCGCTGCGGCTTGGCTATGGCGTACAAACATTGCTTGGGAGATGTACGAGAATGGGAGGAAGATTATGAGGTAGGCGGCAAAGCAGAAGATACTGCTGAGGAAGAGAAGGCGGATGATGGAGGCACGGGTCGATGAGAGGTTGCGGGAGTCGAGCTTCATCGCAGCCCACGATTTTGCAAGCCTGGGAGCGATGCCCATTGTTATTGTTTACGATGGTTGACTGAAGAGAGAGAGGAAGCTCTGGTGTGAGAGCTGGGAGACGATAGGTCTGGACCGTTTCGTGTAACTTTATTATCTGAGTGACTGCTTGGTTGCACTTGCCCGAGCTTATTTCTGGGAGCCACAGCATGTGCATGCTGCCTGCTTGGACTCGAGGGCTGTGGTCTTACATATATATACCTTATATACATGTAGAAAAAGGCTCTACTGTTGGAGCAGCGACAACGGCACGGTCACTTTACTTTGTCTGGATTGTGTACAAAAGAAAGGGGTAGCGAGAATACATATATATATGTCTCAGTTTAAAAGTCCGGGATCGATCGATCTCCGCAAACAAGCCTCGAGCCGTGCCCGAGAGATTCCCAGTGCCGAGGTAGGCTCCTCCAATAAGGGTTGAATGAAGAAGCAATTAAGAATATGTGCCTAGGATCTGGAAGTCTATAAGTACGGAGTGCGGACAGTCAGTACTGCAGGTAGCTGCACTGCACTCCAGATGCGCTGGTAATTGATATGGATATATGTATATATATATATATACATCCGTTTATCAAATACATTTCGTGTTTATCAAATATCTCTCATATTCATTGACGTTGAATATATATACCTTACATATATCACAACAAAAACGGCATTATCAAGGTTCAAAACACGCCTTTCGTTACGCTGCGGGGTGCAGGGGCCGGGAGCTTTAGGTAGGCGTTCTGCAGCACAGTACGAAACTTGTCGACAGAGACTAAGTATGACTCTGACTCTGGCTCTGACTCTGACTCTGACTCTGACTCTGACTCTGACTCTGACTCTGACACCGACATCGACATCGACATCGACACCGACACTGACACCGACACGTTCGAGATCCTTGATCATCGTGGGCTTCTACTTCTGAGCCCAACAACAAAGCAGCACTTGCGTTCCATCCGGCTTTCCAAGCTTCCTTCCAAGCAGCAGCTCGACCTCCAATCCGTTGCAATCTGTGGCATCTACCTATCTTAGCTAGCTAGCTACCCTACCTTTCTATTCATTGCAGCTCTGCCTCGGCAACCGGCCTCCATCTCTGCGGCACCGGTGCGAGAAGCTTTATACCGTGTCAACAGCTCATGGCAGGGAGCGCATCCGGACGGCGACGGAGATTCGAATTCCACTTCATCGGCCTGAGGGCCAGCAATACCCTACAACATGTCGTGGAAGAAGTCTGAACGCTTGATGGACACCATCAAGCACTACTCGGGCTTCCCAGCAACTGGAGTGAGTTTGAGGCAGATGGTTCAGTTCGGCGAGAAGCCATCCACAGGTGCGTCGCGTTGGGATCCAATATGAAAGCCAACCTGACCGACCTCATCGCCACGATGACTGACTCGTGGATGGTGAATCAATCAGGAACACTTTTTCGCGCCTCACAGTTCTTATCCGAAGAGCTTCCCATACGACTTGCCCACCGCGTACAAGAGCTAGGAGATCTGCCAGATGGGTTGAATGACATGCCATCGATCAAGAAAGTGCAGGACTGGTACGCGCAATCGTTCGAGGTAGGGTATCTCCTGCAAACCAGCAAAGTACAACCCTGACATGTGACATAGGAGATAACACAGCTCCCACGGCCCAATCTTGCGAAGGATGTCCGTGATCGACTCATGAAGCCCCAAAAGCAGAGCGGAAGACCTTCGAAGGTCCTTGCGGAAGCAACACAGAACCCCAGCGTGGAGAGAGGCCAGTATAATTCCTCGTCGTGGCAGCAGAATGGGTATAGGAACGGCAATGGAGAACAGAAAATGGTTGCGACGAGGCGGTATTTTGCGACAGTCGAAGATAGTACCGACTGGCCCCCCGAGCTTCAAGATTACAACCAGCGATTCTCGCAGACTCTGAACACGATCAAACGGCGACACGACGGTGTAGTAACGACAGTAGCCCAGGGAATTCTGGAATACAAGCGCAAGCGGCAACGCATGCAAATTGACAACAATATCCAGTCATTCCTTGACCGTTTCTACATGTCTCGAATTGGCATCCGGATGTTAATCGGACAACATATTGCCTTGACGGACCAGAGTCACAATAGGGACCCGACATATGTAGGGATCATCTGCACAAAGACCAACGTTCACGATCTTGCTCAGGAAGCGATCGAGAACGCCCGGTTTGTCTGCGAAGACCACTACGGCTTATTCGATGCGCCAAAGGTCCAGCTTGTGTGCCCTCCCCATCTCAACTTCATGTACGTTCCAGGACATTTATCACACATGCTTTTCGAGACCTTGAAGAACTCGCTTAGAGCTGTGGTCGAAACCCACGGACAAGACAAGGATGAGTTCCCCGTTACCAAGGTGGTGGTGGCAGAAGGCAAGGAGGACATCACTATCAAGATCTCGGATGAGGGCGGTGGCATACCCCGAAGTGCCATACCTCTCGTCTGGACTTACATGTACACAACGGTGGATACGACACCAAATCTAGATCCTGATTTCGACAAGAATGATTTCAAAGCACCAATGGCTGGTTTCGGCTACGGGCTACCAATTTCCAGGTTATATGCGCGCTATTTTGGAGGAGATCTGAAGCTGATCAGCATGGAGGGGTAAGCTCTTCTCCCCTACCCAAACAATCACAACAAGCTAACCCGGCGTTCTAGTTACGGCACAGATGTATACCTCCATCTGAACCGCTTATCCAGCTCCTCGGAGCCTCTCCAATAACAATCAGCAGTCATGAGGGGCGGTATGGGGTTTCCATCTCGTTCGATATCGTCTCAAGGATTGACGCACATGTTATGGCAGAAGCAGATGAGCCTGAGACTGCGGAACCGTCGCGAAGAAGTCACGGAGCGGAAACAGGTGGGCGATGCGGAGAGCATGATCAACGAGGGCAGAAGTGCTCCGGGCCATTACGGCTTATTCAGAGGCGAGGGAGGCGAAGTGTAAACGCCGAACATGATGGCAATATTTTTGTTTTGACCCTGTATATATTGAGAGGGAGGCATGAGGGTTGGTGGGCGGCGTTCAGATGTGGCGGGGGATCGATCTGCTTTTGCGATTTGACATTCTGACATGACGAGATACTGAATACACGAAAGCCACTGCAAGATCTGTTCGAAATCGAAACGAGCCTGTTCCGGCTAGGCCACAGCTACCCATCGCATCGTGGACTGTGCTGTTTACACTCAATACGAGAGACACACGGATCAGAACTCTTGGAACAGACAGCAGACAAAGTTAACTAACCCTCGATACAGATACACGTCGAGACGAGAGGCAGACGAGAAATGCTCGAGTGCACACTCGGAAGTCCTCGAGTGTAGTGTAGTGTAGTGTAGTGTAGTGTAGTGTAGTGCGAACTTTGCTTTTTTGGTGGTGGGTGGTGCACTTGCTAAGTGGAGGGAGTGAGTGCGAGCCGAACAGGCAGGCTCTTATCACCAACGACTCCTGAGCCAATCGACCCTGGATCGAGTCGAAACCTGAGACGGGCAGGCACTTGCAGGCGTGTTCCCTCGCCCAAGAAAGCAAAACCCGAAGTTTATGTACGTAGTACGTAGATCTTTTGAGGGGCTCACGTCCCTGTTCTTCTCTTCTAAGTCGTTCATATACCACTACTACTACTCAATCACCATATGTAGAGGCAGCTAGCTACTATACAAGCTCGCTACCCAGAGCCAGAGCCTTCCCACCTCCCCCGTCTATACAACCACCGGACTTCCCACCCTATTCTCCGTCGATCCAACGGATTCCAGCCAACGGTGCCTCCCAACCGCATCTATCATATCATCAGATTGGCCATACCATTCCAGTGTCGTACCTCGTACAGAGTGTGCACGTTTAACGCAGAAAACAAGGGATCAGATGTGGGGCTCTTCCAGGTGCGTCTATCCACCACCCAATCCCAACAAGCAAAACACCAACTCAGCAAAGCGAGAAAAGATGAAGCAGAAAGCAATGGTATTGTACAATAGCATATAGATGAAAATGACGAGCGAATCCCCAGGAATTCGCAGGACGAAAATGAGTGCGGGAATATAGGTCGAACCCCAACGCCGCTTTTGCCATGCTTTAGGACCGCGATCTATTCCCTGGGTGTAGACGGGGATGGCCAGTAACGCCTTCTATATTCTTCTGGGCATGATATTCATTCCGATTCTCACGGTTTTGAGGACGACGCAAATTTTGGTTTGTACAAGTTCTCTCTGAGCAACACTGGAATCCGTGGCCGTTCAGGCTGTACATCCGTTGACGAGGGTGTTTGTTGGCCATGTGTAGTTTGTCTCCTTCCACAACGTGAGGTTTTGGTTGGCATCTTGAGGAATCTAGTCAGCTCTGCAGCTTGCTGCACATCATCGATACGAGGGTACTTACAAGGCTCTGGGTGTCGTTTGATGTATTCGGTCGTCTCGAAATTTTCGGGGTCACAAGTGATTGACTCTGAACCTACCTCCTGATAAATCCGGATGTAATCGACCCTCATAGTCGCCGGCATTAACTTTGCCAAGTTATGCAAGAACACCGTCGCAAAACTGTTGGACATGCCAAAGTTCATGATGATAGACATGGGTTCTTCAGGGATTGTTCTTTGACCAATGTTTCCGTTCGGCCTAATAGATCGAGGGTCTACCTTGTAGGTGTACTGATCTCCAACGAACCAAGAGACATCGCCATTGGTTCCAGGGGTGTATTCGAAGCCGTACTTCTGATACGCCTTCCCGTCGTACCAGTCGTTGTTGAGCCAAGTCACGGCAGAGAGAGCTTCCTGGTACGGTCCACCACGATAGATGTTCATGCCAGTATTGGCCACATCATAGATCTCCAGGTAATCGTAGTCCGGCTGGTAGAAGATATCGAATGGAGCAATCTGCAGAGACTGAGATGCTGTACCTACAGCAGCGTCGTATTCCCCAGGACCCATGAAGCCCGAACTGGCCTCAATAACATCGATTTCAGGCGCAGAACGGGAGTACCCGGCGTTGGGATGGTCCTGGTTCTTGCAAGTACACGCTGGGAGTCGCATGCCGGGGAGTAAGCTCAAGCCATCAGGAGAACTTTGGTTGGCCGTGATTCCTGCGTCGCACTTGTGATCATAGCTATATGGCCACATGCCGTCCGTAGTTGCGGGATAACCAGGCCGACCAAGATTGCCCATAGCCCAAAAGCCCGGCCAGAAACCTTGGATATCTCCACGGCCAGGCAGCGAGATGCTTGCTTCCAATCGGCCCCCCTTGAAGCAGAGCTTATTCCAGGATTGCAGCATGCCAGAGCGGTAGTTGAGGTTGTGATTTTGGAAAGCATCGAAACGAAGGTTCAAGGTTCCATTGGCCGTAGTTATTGCATCTGGGTCGTACCACTCGAGATCCTGCGTAACACCATACCAAATGTCAACGCCCTGGAAGTAGGGATCATCTCCGTCGTAGAAGGTTCGTCCATCGGTGTTAAACTCGTCAGAGAACTAGGTATAGGAATTAGAAGCTTGGTTTCATTTGCAAGCCAGGACATACCGTAAGCTTTAATTTCGTCCCATCATGTGAAGTTACCGTCTTGGCATCGTCTGGGGTATCAGGATCAATAAGGCCTACTCTCTGATTCTTGAGTAATGGCAGCTGGTCTGATAGACAATCTGGATTTCGGGCACAGCTTGATTTAGGACCAGCAATGATATCTCGAGAGAATGACCTATAAAAGTGTCAGTCATGTCCCTAGAAGCCGCAGAGAATAGAACATACAATACGGGGTACCCAACGAAGAGTACCAAGATCGCAGCAGTAATTAGGACCAAGCCTCCTACGTTCGCCATTCCTCTCTTGTTCCAGATATCGCACCTGTCCCGGTCGTTGTCGTCCGGTCCCGGGTTGTGCAGATAATCATCCTTCTCTACATCTTCTGGGAAGAGGAGTAACCCAGCCGAGGGCATGATGTTGTACTTCTCGGAAACGGTTTGTGTATTGATATTATCATCGTCGCTACCAGCTCGCGAGGGAGCTCTCGGATCCTCAAATGGGGATGGGAATGGAAAACCAGCAGGAGCAGCAAAGCCCCGACTGTCGTGACTTGGTGTGTCTGAATTCCAACTCGATCTTCTAGAGGACATTCCAGATGGCGTGCGAGAAGGTCCCTCTGATGGAGAGTCTCGGTACATCCTTGAGCGCATTTTCGGTGGTAACAGTAGCGAGTCGGTTGAATCTAATCCTCCTGAGCCATACATAGCATTTGTGGTGGGCGCGACCGAGAGCCGGGATGTGGGAAGAGCCGTGTTTCTGGGTGCTGGCAGCAGACTTCTTGACAGACTAGGCGTTGCTGGAGTTTGAACTGATCCAGGGCTATTGGACTCCATTGGTCCCAGTATATCTCCTCCGCTGCCAGAATTGACAGTGACACGTAGCGGCCGCCGAGGCCCTGCCCTATCCGATGCCATATAGATGTAGGAACAGGAAAAAGAGATGGATTTTTCGTATCCAGAAACCACCTCTCATCCACTCCGCCCAACTGGGGACCGTGTGGTGGAGATAATGGTGTGAGGCGGTCGTCGGCGGGGAACTTGGGGGCTCGTAACGTTGTCCAGCAATGTTTCCGAATGTTGGTGTTGGTGGTGGTGGTTGTGGTGGTGGTGTCGAAAGGGAGAGTTGGCAAGAAAGTCTTGGAAAGAGAAGGAGGCGCCGAGGAGGGAAAAGGATTGCGCGGCAGCGGAGGTGGTAGGGGTAAATGAGAGTCGGGGAGGGAGAGTCGATCAAGGGCGATGTGAATATGGAGAGGTCGAATGGATCTGGTACTGGCACTGGCATTGGCAGTGGTCCAAGGAATAGAAGAAGATGTCGCCGTCGAAGGGACTCGAGAGAAGGAAGAGAGAGGTGAAGAGAGCGAGATGGAGAGAGAGAGAGAGAGAGTGGATGAGTGAGTGAGAGACTGACTGAGTGACTGAGTGACTGAGTGACTGAGTGACTGACTGAGGTCGACAGCAGGCAGAAAAGTCGAGAAGGCAGAACCAAGGCGCAAAGGCAGGCAGGCTTGGTTGGTGCCAAGCAGCATTGGGCGCTGCTGGTATTTAAGGGGACGGACTACTGCAGTGGATTGGGAAGCGGCGCCGTTGATTGTGATATTCATACCGCGAGGGATATCGCTAGGGATATCGCTATGGAGATGGATGTGGATGTGGATGTGGATCTTGATCTTGATATCGACACATACTCGTCAATACCATCATCATCAACTCATAGCCCTTCCCTGGCTCGACGTCCTCCACAACGACCTTTTCTACGGCCCTCACATCTCGAGCTTATCGCATCTCCAATATTGGACTCCCAACGGCGCGGCACTCACCTCGGAGATGACGCCATAACAACCGAAGCGCATCTCAAGAGAAGAGAAGAGAAGAGAAGAGAAGAAGAAGAAGAAGAAGAAGCAACGGTAGAAACAAACCAAAAAAAATTAAATCGGTTCAAATCAACAAATCAACAAAAAAAAGAAAAAAAAAAGAAAAGAAAAAAAGAAAAAAAAAGAAAAAAGAAAAAGAAAAAAAAAAGAAAAAAAAAAAAGACAAGAAAGACCTCAGACCAGACCAGACGTCTCTGCGCATCCTTCATTCCAAACCTCCCCCATCAAACTCAAGGCGACACCAAGAGGTCTTGTCCAAACCTTACCCTCGTTAAACATCCATCAGCTACTGTACTACTGACCGGTATCATCCCCGGCGGGATCCGACACCCTCAAGCTTTGCGCGCCGCGCCGCGCCTCAAGCTCAACCCTTGCTTGGCTCAGGAGCTCAACGTCCATTACGGTGCACATTGCTACGTATCACCACTCTTACCCATCGTTATCCTCCCGTTCATCGGCCAGACCTAGGAATCATACACGCCTGTCATGTTCAAGCCGGGGATGAGGCCCATGTCTATCCCAGGCCATCCGATGTTTTTTTTTTTATTCCCCCATCTCAAGGAGGGAGGTGATTGATTGATTGGACTGGGTCCGAGCGCCAGATCATGTCAGGGGAAGCCGACCTGCAGACACGACAATGTTGCGCCCGTGGAGGATACTGTGGTATATTACCTACCTTCCTACCCTATTAACTATATGAGTTTGACCGTCGACTTGCCTAGTAACTGACTCATTTCATATATATCTGTCTATAGATATGCCCTTCCCCCTCCCCCAAAAAGAATCCGATTCAAGCACGGATGTGGGAACAGTCAAGTCCAGAGAGAAGGTGGTGTAAGACGGAAGAAATGATCCACCACGAGACCAGAGTTTATTCTGAGTGAAATTTCAGAGATATCCATTGCAAAAGTCCTGTGGTTCCCGGCAGCACACATTGTGCTCACATGCCGTGCAAGTTTTCTCAGACCGACCTACGCGCCTCGGACGGCTCCGTACCGAGGCCATCTTAACCCATCCCAGAGCCTTCATCTCCCCCCTCCAAACTCCATCCCGGCCCCAAGCAGCCCTTCTCAACTCTCAATAGCCAGCGCCTTGACACCCACCAGCCGGCCCCCCTCAACGCCAACAACCCAATACTCCACTCTTGGTCCATCCCTCGCAATCATGTACACCCGGACATCACCCCCATTCGCAGACTCCCTCGTAGCATCAACCACATCCTTATATTGCCCCTGCGGATCCCACTCCCCAATATCCATGATCTGAACATCCGCTTCGTCAGGCCTCGGATGCTGGACCAGCTTTGCGAACGTAGCTACACGCACCAAACAAACAGTTCATTAGCAGTCGTCCAAATATAGATATTGGCAGAGGAAGAAAAAGAGAACAAGCGTTCGACGAACTTTCATCAGGCAACCCCTCCTCTCCCTTGCCCAGCTTCAACGCAACCCCGACGAACGGCTCATCAGCATCAGAGACGTAAAAGCTCTCGTTCTTCCCCAGCACCCTCCTAATAGCCTGAGGCACTTCCACTGCCTCATCTACAGCCTTCAGCCCCTTCACCTCGTTCCCCCCGCCCTCGCTCTTCCCCTCTACCACGCCCTCGCCCGGGTCCCGGTTGGCCTTGTCCAGGAAGGACATGTACTCGTCCTCTGTCGCCATCTTGCCTGCGCCTTCGCCTTCGGGATCCCTCGTACGAGTAGTAGTAGTAGTAGTAGTGGGAGTAGCAGTGCTGCTGTACCACGATTCAGTTCCCCGCCCGGAAAACTGTGCTGCCCCTCGACGACGACGACCCGACTGGTCCCTGAGAGGGATGAGAGGAGAGAGATGGAGGCTGCTCACGCAATAGGTACCGGCGCCCCGGCAGCCACGTTCCGGACCGCGTTCGACTCGCTGTCCACGCCCTCTGCACGCGCTTGCGTCTCGTTTTGCGTCTGTGTCTGTGCCCGTGTTGTGGTGGGCGGCGGCACGGAAGCCAAGTGCTCGTCTGCCAACCCCTCGCGCAGCGCTGCCGGCTGCTGCTGCTGCTGTGAGGAGCTTAATGTTGGCTGTGGATTGGCCGTAGCTAACGGCGCTTCTGTTGCTTGCTTGAAGGACTTCGAATTTGAGGAGCTGAAGCAGGAGAGGAGTGCGCCCATGTTATGCGAAGGTTTGGGTTTTACAGTAGTTAGCTATGGCGGGAGCTATTGCGGGGTAGGAGGATGACAAAGGGATCCTAAAAATTCAGGTCCTACTGTTCCACACAAATTACAAGGTACACAATGGAAGATGCTGGGTAATAGCCCAACTCGAAGCTGGATCACAAATACAAGGCAAAGGTCACAGTGACACGAAAGTATGTTGTTGTACAGAGGTTTAGTTGGACATTTCATCGTAGAATTCTCTTGTTCTACTTTATGCCCCCCTTGGTCATCATCAAAGAGCACAAGATACCATGTAGTGGAAAACCCCCTGCACCAAATCGCGACCCCGTAGGAAACATTGCATAGCCAGATCTCTAAGCAGCAGGTTGAATGTCCTTCTTGAGCGTACCCAAGAAAGCATGCTTCTCCTGAGGAGTTTGGTAGGCACCGTGACCGAACTTCGACGACGTGTCGATCCACTTGAGCTCAACCTTCTCCAATGCTTTTCTCGAGGTGTGGACGAACATGGACTTTCTGAGAGTCATGACACGCTTGCGAACACCTGGAACGGAACCCTTAACGATAACGAAGTCGTTCTTGACCTCTCCGTATCGGACGAAGCCACCCATGCTACATACTATTAGCTTGATCTGAAGAAAATAGGCTGGCGGAACTTACGGGGTGATTTGCTTCTTGCCAACATCAAAGTCAGTGGTGGCGTTACCCTCATCGTCACCCTTGCCAATGCGGTACACTTTGTGGTTGCAAGAGGTACGGTGGTGGTATCCGTCTTGACCGGCACGGGCAACGGTCCACTGGACGTGACAAGGATGCCAGGCTCCAATACAGGCGACCTTACGGAGACCCTTGTGTGTCTTTCTCGGAAGCTTCTTGGTTCCCCATCTGCTGGTGACACCGGAGAAACCGTGACCCTTGGTAACGGCAATAACATCGATCATCTCATCCTGCTCGAAGATGGAGGAGATCTCGACTGGCTTCTCGAAGAGACCATGACCGAACTCAACCTTGTCCGCAACGCTGCCTCCATTGACTTGGATTTCCATCAAATGAGCCTTCTTTTGCTTAAGGGGAGTCTTGCGGATTTGGGTGTGGGCGAGGACACGGACGACGGTGCAGTACTTCTTGATGCGCTCGAGCTCACGGGTGATGGAGGATCCAGAAGACTCAGAGTGCTTCTTGGCGTACTTGGTGAAAGCCTTCTTCTTGCTTCTGTACCAGTTCTTGTAGAATCGGCGCTTTACCTCGTCGCTCAAGTGCTCAGCCCAAACGGTAGTAAGGGAGCGGAGACCTCGGGGAGTTTCGATGTAACCAACTAGACCAACAACGATCACCTAAAAAGATGTTAGCCATAAGCACAATGTGCCAAGCGGGCTGCGTTGCTCGTACCGGTGGTGTCTCAATGACAGTGACTGCCTCCACGACCTCCTTCTTGTGTGTCTTTGCTCCTGGGCGGTCGAGATCGCGGACGATGGTGGTCATACCAGCCTTGTAGCCCATGGTGGCTGTGAGGTGGACCGGCTTTTTGGGGTCATCTTTGGGGAAGCTGGCAGAAGTCATGAAGTTAGCAGGTAATCCCGCAATGATGTGCGAACGAGGAGGAAAAACCATGGCATCAGATTGGAATTGCTGTGTATACTCACGACTTGACCTTGCCGCGATGACGGGCAGCTCTCTTGCGGGGGAGGTACGCAAGGGAACCGTGACGGGGGGCCTCGAATTTTCTGTGAGACATCTTACGAGACGCTGAGATGCGAACCTAATTGTCTCTGATCTTCCGGGAGTTGTCGTTGCGCGTCGAGTTGCGCTGGTTGTTGAGCTGAGAAAGAGGTTGAGGCCGGGGAGAGAAAAGTTCGAGATAACCGCACTTGATTTGTGCGGAGCTAAAATAAGCGAGACTGCTCTAAGGACGACTTCACACGTGACTTGCATGCCTTTTTCACTCATGGTCACCTGAGCCAATGGCATTAGTTCTCACAGCTCATCCAGAGACCACAAAATCCACTTTCAGAGACACCGTTCCTTCTCCTCCCCTTTCTGCGATTTAGCATTCCTCCCTTCCATTTTAACTGCCTCGATTCTTTCATCCCTATTTCGAAAGTCCTAGCAGCGATCCACCGGGCTCACACGACCACTGATATGGACGAACTACAGCGGCATCGATCCGAACATCCATTGAAGCACGCAGCACTTGGTCTTTTGATTGATCCGGATCGGAAGCAAAGGTTATCTTCCTCTCATGCTGCCCTTGCCTCATAAACACCTCACTTTGTCCACATCACCATCCCAGCTCATTGTGGGTTGCCAGTGCAAGACCTCACGAGAAATAATATCCAACCCTCCACCTGAGTGTTACTCACAATCGTGGGTCTCCCCATTCCAATTTTCGACCTCTCCTCACTTCCAACCGTCACAGGCTATAAGGGCATCACCAGACAAGTCAGTAGCTAAGAGGCACTGTGATCAGACGGACCGAAAGTATGATCAGAGTTAATGATAGTCATTCTATACACTGAAATTTTTCGAAGAAATGTAAGTCCACTCCAAAGGTATCATCATCCATCATTAAACAGAACAAACGAAAATACATTCCATAGAAACCTAGCTTTCTACTTTTTGCTGTCCATTTACAGCACCATTAAGATGTCGGTTTACTCCAGCTGGGGACGCGGCTTTCGTCTCTCCCGCTGCCGAACCGGGTCCAGATCCCGCAGCTGATAGAATTCCTCCCTTTTTGTCCTCCTCCCCATCATCATCATAATCTTCGTCGACGTCCATTTTCCGTGCAGCACGTTCGGGCTCACCAACAGGAGGCAGAGGAGCAGGATGATCCAGACGCTCGCGTTGCTCTCTCTCACGTTTCTCTCGCTCACGTTTTTCCCTCTCACGCTGTTCCCTATCATCGACTGAGTAATCCTTGGGCACAGGAGGAGGGAGCGGGGGAGGCAACTCATGTACGGGGGTGTGAGGGAGAGGTGGCCCTTGTTGCATGGGTGGCAAGTGGTTCTGAGATTGGCTCTGAGGAGGCATGTTATGCGTTGGGGGGTGATGCGCTGCCTCAGAGGGATGGTAATTATCATTGGCTCTACGCTGTTCCTCGACTCGGCGTTGATCTTCGACACGGCGTTGATCTTCGACACGTCTCTGGTCTTCAGAACGGCGCTGCTCGTCCAAGCGTCTCTGATCCTCAGCACGGCGAGCTTCCGATGAGCTGCGGCGAAAGTTTTCACGCGGAGAAGTCGATACACGACGATGATGCATGTCATCCAAACGGGCTCGATTCTCATCATTAGCAGGCTTTTTCACGGCCGTATCTTCTTCCCATTCACGCATCCGCTTTGGACCCACCGACGAAGCTACTGAAGGAGGTCTCTCACCAATCCTGTCAACGTTTCTTTCGGCAGCAGCAGCTTCGGCAGCAACTAATGCAGATGCTGGCGCCGGAGCACCACCCTCGATACCGCCTGGGTTAGAAATATCTGGATGGTGAGGCTGAGGGTACTGTTGTTGGTGTTGATACCCGTTCTTGGGTGACGGCATGCGATTGTCAATGATTGGGCGAACCTCTGTCCGAGGAGGGCTATTAGGTCGACCAAAAGGTGGAAGGGATTGCGGGCCAGGACCAGGGCCATTCATGCTGGGTTGGGCAGGAGGCAAGACAGATGCGCCAGCGTAGTTGGGGTTGGAGACCCGTTGGGGAGGGGGTGGTGGCGGCCCAGAAGGAGGAGGCTGCGACAGCCCTGGGTACGGTCCCATTGCAGCATGCTGCTCTCGAGGGGGTGAGCGGCGACCACTTGGGCCACTTGGGCCAGTTGGGCCAACTTGCGGTGGGCCGTTTTGCGGAGGCCCTGGAGGTAACCTCTGTTCAAAAGGTCGCAACTGCTCGGACTGCCTGGGGCTTTGTGCACGTGGTGGGGGTGGTACGGGACCGGGGCCCCGAGCTTGGTCTCTCTGCTCGTACGGGTTGCCGGGGTGTGGAGGCGGGTTGATCTCAGCGAGTCGGCTCCAGCCGTTTGCAGGCGGGCCAAGAGGGGGACCCGGAGGTGGAGGCGGAGGAGCAGAGTTCCCCCATTGAGGACCAGGAGGGCCGACGGCTCCACTGGCTTGGTAGGTTGTCGGGTGGACGTCTTGAGGCAGAGGTGCGCTGGCCTGAACTGGTATTCCAGCCTGCCCGCTGCGAAGTAATTGAAGACGGGCTTTGATGTGCGCGTTGGCAGGATCAAGTTCCGCTGCACGTTGATACGCATCCAGCGCATCGTTGATCTGGTTGTTGCAGGATTCGTACTGTACTCGTCGTTAGCGGTCGCTCAAACGAAATCCGCCGAAACATGAGGGCAAACTCACCAAGGTGCCCAGGTCGTACCAGACCTCGGAAATGTACGGGTTCAGGCGTATCGCACGGGAATATGCATCAAGTGCATCTCGGTACTGGTTGATCTGGTAGTACAAAACGCCAATCGAGCACCAGAATGTTGGGTTCCGTCCGTCGCGGTAAACTGCTTGCTGATATGCTTCGTACGCCTTGGGGTACTTCTGCTGTGACATGTAGCATCGTCCAAGCAGATACCAGCTCTGGGCATCACTTTGATCTGCCACGTGTTAGTGTCGCAATCGCGAGACCGGAAATCTTTGACGAATTTACCTGAGCCGACGGATTTCTCCAAGTACTCGATCGCTTGCTCTTGGCTGCTGAAACTGTTATTCTGCTGGTGATGGAGCCAGCCTAGCTGCTGTAGGACCTTCGCATGATTCGGGTCGCGGTCCAGCACACGCCTGTAGGCCAATTTCGCGTTGTCGTACTGAAACGGTTGTCAGATTTGTACGCTGTCGCAGGAAATGAGATTACTCACGTCTTTCTGCTGCTCGTGGACATGACCGATCTGGAACCAGATATCCTCTTCTGTCAAGGGCGTTGGTGGCACTGAAACAATGTACCGAAAACACTGCATAGAGTCAGCTGGCTGAGAGACAAATGTTTTCCCCTTCGGAAGTCGTACCTCGAGACTCTGTTGATACTTGGACTGTTGCTTGTAAATTATGCCGAGACGAAAGTAAATCTCGTTGGCCTTTTCAAAGTCTGGCTGCATGCGCATGACCTGAGAGAAAGCTTCTTCCGCGTGTTCAAGGGAACCATAGCGATCATAAAGAATGCCGATGCCATACCACAGCTTGGGTTCCTGACCTTGCGTTAGAGTTTTGCCCGAAGATCAGAGAGACGCTGTTCCATACCTTGGGGTCTCTCAGATGGTACAGAGCTTGTTGATAAGCGGAATATGCTTGCTGCAAATCGTCCATCATCAAATAGCAATGACCTTGGAAGGTTAGCGAGGAGCATCAAGACGGAGGTGGTTAACATACCAAGACTTCCCCAAACTTCTCCGTTGTTGCCTTCTAGCTTGAGTATGCTCTGGAGGTACTCAACCGCCTTGTGATACTGCTCCTGCGTGCGTAAGATACAACTTATCGCATTCATTGCTGGTATAGATCGGGGATTGGCGCGAAGGGCATGCTCATAAGCAGTGATCGCCTCATCGAAGTTATTCATTAGCTCCGTACAACTCCCTGTCCTATGGTTAGCCGAGTGCCGCGAATGGGGAAGGAAGCGCCGCACCAATTTGCATCCATACAGCCTCATTAATTACAGCCACCTGTTGCATTATTGGCGCAAAGTGCTGCTGTTGCGGCACCATTCCTGGCGGAGGAGGGCCACCTGCCGGGCCATGGTGCATTTGCATGCCCGTAGGAGGAGACGGGTGATGGGCCGCCATTTTATTATATTTTGTTTTTGGCCAAGTCGCGAAAAGCTCCGGGCTGGTTTATATCTGGGCGCCGGCGGCGAGTACGCGCGCCACCGAAGGCCAGTCTCCGGATGCTCGCACTATTTACACTGTGGAATAAGATGGGATAGATCTTGTTGCAGGTATCGTCCAGGTCGGAGAGCGAGAGTGGGAGATGGGGAGCTAGAGCCGGGGACTAGTATTGACCCAATCCAGCTGTTTTTGGCTGGCTGGCTGGCTGGCTGGCTGGCTGGCTGGCTGGCGCAAAGGGAAGTGAGTGAGCCAAGATGATGCTTAGGCGAAGAATATATCGTAAAGGATGTATGAACACAGGGTGACTGAGAGTTAGGATAGAGATGAAGAAGCTCCTGCTGGTGACGGCGACGATGGTGAAGGAGGTGACGATCGCTGAGACTTACTTGAGCGAGGAGAAAGAGGGGGGGGCGAAGGACGGAGCCATAAGAAGGGGAAAAGGGAAAGCCCAGTGGAACTCTCGTGGGCCAAATATCTCACCTAACCCACGGCACGCTAAAGATGATGTGGAGAATTGACAGCCCCCCTGCTCCGTTCGCTCTGCCCTTGTGTTGCGGCTGCTGCTCACGCTACTCGCCCTGGGGCTCGAGCAGTAGTGGATCCGTTGCGACTAAGCCAAAGGGGGAAGTAAGTTTTCCCTACCATCTTGCTCGGCGGGGCCCGGTCCCGGGAGCGGGCAACGGCAGGGAAGGTCTACTTTAAAGTAGGTATTTTAAGTTACGCTGGGTAAAGTAGGCACCACTACGTGTTGGAAGTAGTAAGTAGTAAGTACTAGTCGTACTACTATTAGCACCTAGTACGGTAGTCGACTGTATGAGGAGCTACTACGTACTAGTAGTACTAGGTACCGTATACCGGTCCTCCGTAGTGTTGGTCGCAATAGGCACCTCAACCTCAACACAAACACCAAGACAGTGTACAGTGCACAGTGCACAGTGGTTCCCATAAAAACTACCGACCCATCACATACTATACAGGATACCTACCCAACGGGAGCGATTCCATTACCGTGATACTTTGCTTCCCTCCCTCTGCTGCATTTTCCTGTCTCAGACGGGAGAAACGGCGCGGATGATGGTCGGTTTGGCTTTCAGGGGTCCGAGGTCCCTAGGGTAGGTAGATCTTTGTATCGAACGATTCAGATGCTTTTGAATCATCGTCGCGCGCACGCACAGCACCCATTACGACAACAAGTTGATTTCGAAACGTCCCCGATCTGGACCACGCCGGGAGAGCATGGGAACTATTTTCGAATGCAGATGTCACGATGGATTTTCTGATTTTTGAGTTTGATTTGGATTTGGATTTGGATTTACGATCGTTCATTTTTGATTTTCGATCTTTCATTTTGATCTTGGTTTTGGTTTTGGTTCTGATTTTGGTTTGAATTTTAGTTTGGATTTTGGTTTGGATTTTGGTTTTGGTTTGGGTTTGGGTTTGGGTTTGAATTTGGATGTATCGAATCCCCGAGTTGAAAGCATCATCTCGACTATTACTAAACGATAGGTACCTATTACCGGTACGTAGTAGTATATGCATACCTCTCTGCCCTTGCTGCCAGATCCAGCTATTCTCTGTATGCCGGGTTCGACATTATCCATCGAGCTGGGAGACAGTTCTGTTACAAGTAACCAATCGCCCGTGATCCCGAACACAAGTCAGAAGCTGATGGATGGAGAGAGAGGAGATAAACAGATAAACCTACCTACTGACCAGCGAGTGTGTTGGTTGGTGCCTTGGCTTCTGGCGCCGCACGCTTCGCCCCGAACCATTTAGAGAGCGGGCATTGGGCCCTGAAGATATACTTTTACCCCCCCTTGGCCCTCCCAGCAGATGGAATGCTCGGGCCGGGTTGGAAAATTCTTCTCAGGCCAGGCCTCGGCTGCAATGCGCTCGGAGTGGTGGATGATGATGATGATGATGATGATGATGCGTGAGCCACAGTCCACACAGTCCACACAGTCCACAGTCCACAGCGCCGTGAGTGAGCACTGACAGTCTGACAGAGCAGGTAGTGCTTCCTCGTCCCGTCGCACCGCATTACGGTACCGTAGTAGTCGTCAACAAGGACCCGGTTCGTTTGAAAGGGATGTTGCATTCTTCCCTTCGTGCAGGTTACTGGAAACAAACGGGCTTGAACTCTCCTCTCCTCTCTTCTCCGATCCGATCCGAGCCGGAAGGGATAGATGGGGAGATAGATAGCATTGTTCGAAATGCCATCCCTCGCTGTACCGCAGTCCGCCAGTCCGCCAGTCCGCCAGTCCGCCAGTCCGGAGAGTTGGTTTCGTCTTCTTTCTTTCGTATTCTTATCATCAGAAAGCATTTTATCACCAACCAAGTCAGCAATAAAAAAGAAAGAAAAGCGAGATGTGGTGCCGCAGCGACAGATCCAGCGAGTCCATGCAGCTGGACCCACGATCGAGCGCTTCTGCGGATAATACAACGTATAATACAGTGGTAGGTAAGGTAGGTACCGGTAGTACGTAGTAGTAGTTGGAAATATATTAATTGCATAGAGTATATTCGTGCTACCACTCGTCAAAGCCTGCATCAGTGATCAGGATCATCCCCTCCCCCCCTCCCCCCCTCCCCCCCTCCCCCCTCCCCCCCTCCCCTCGGCCCTAGTCTGCATCGGGCCGCAGTTCCCTTTCCCTTCCCTTCCCCAAGTGCCACACACATCGAATGAAAACGCCACCGGTCTTGCCTCCAAGCGAAGGAATGCATATGTACGGTACGGTATCTTACAGATCACATTGATACAGTTCAGGACCACTACTGGTTGTACCGGTACCACTAGTACTTATACGGGAGTATATCTACCATCTACTTCTACCGGAAGCCAAATTCTATTGTGTTCGTCGGCACACGCGCGGCCGCCAGAGCAGGAGGTCATCAGGCGGAGCAGAGCAGAGCAGAGCAGAGCCACTCGAGTAAAACAAGGCGTGGCCACACTAGAAGGAAAAAAAACTCCGTAAACTCCTCTCCGACGCGCTCGTGCCGGAGAGTAGGTCGAGAAAGTTGTACCATGAGATGAGATGAGATGAGATGGCTGCCACACGTGATGCCGACATCCTGGAAATACCCCGAGAACTCTCATCTACTACTACGTACGTAGTAGTACTAGTACATAGTACGTACCGGTACTACTGTAGTTGTACCGGTATCTTCCCAGCTTCCAAAAGCAAAGAAGTACCTACTACCTACCTACCTAGGCCCTGCTCCCCTACGGTCCCTGACTAAGCCCATCCTCACGGTCTATTATTGGCCCCAATCAGAAAGATCCGTACGAATCGAATCTGCACTGAACCATTGCCCCATCAGGCCTCGCTCCCAGCCCGATGAATCATTCCAGGACAAGTGCGGAGCTTACTGGCCCGCCAAGGTACGCACCCCCCCCCATCCCTCCCCGCCACGGTGACGGAGCTGTTGACGGTGTCGGTGTCAGATCGGCAGGCCACATAATAAGAAAAACGCACGCATCGAGCCGAGGATGAGTACTACGTACTACGTACTACGTATATACGTAAGGTAGTAACAACTAAAACTAGTTAAGTAGTGAAAAAAAAAAAAAAAAAAAAAAAAAAAAGGCGGCCCTTCCCCCCTTT